AACATAGAAAAGAAAACATAAGTACTGACGCAACCCCAAGTAGCTAAAGAAAAGGGCAGAAAGAGGATGTTCTTTTCTTTAAAACTGTGTTACTATATGAAATAAACCATCCTACTACATAAACTTATTTAAAAAATAATTGCTATAAAAGATAATAAATTTTATAACTTTTACAAAATGTAATAAACATTAAATGGATGCCCTTAATTGTTCGTATGCTAATAAAACTTGAATGAAAACAGGAAATGGTATTCCTATAGTAAATCTTAAGTACTTTAGTGATAACGTGGATAACTTGAATACATCTAACATCGAAAATGCATTTACTTTGTGTTGGACACCAAGGGGACTTGAAGGATAATTACTTACTTAGTAACTGATAAATATATAATTGTACTAGGTACTGAGGTATAACAAAAGCAACTACAAAAATAAACATACTTATTTATATTACAATATGTTTTTTTTTAAGTTTAGAACACAATATATAATAATATAATCAAAAAATTCGTTTAAATTTTTTCATGCAAAACGGCAAGTTTATAGGTTACCTATTATTAGTTTAGTAGGTATAGATTATCTGTGCCCTAAAGTTTCATTCGCGTAGTTTATAACGATTTTCAATGCAATGTTTTCAAATCGGTTGGTTCGAATCGAAGTCTATCCGATCCACACTAATGTTCAAATCTTTTCTTTGATATAAGCACATATAGTTCAACTTAGATTATAATTTATTATAAAGCTAGATAATTTTGTAAGCAGCTTATACCCACATCTAAGTGATACCACACTAAGAATTATTGAGTTAAGATTCCATTTTTAAAATTTAAAATTAGACATGTTTCTTATAAAAATCTTCTATTTTTATTATACCTAATCCATGTTCCATGTTCGAATTTTAACAATACAAAATCTTACAATAGATCTATTAAAAATGATTTATAATTAGAACTGGAAATCTCAAAAATTCATTAATTAAGTTCAGAATGCTTAGGTGGTGCACAAAAACTCGCATGATACTCATACCAGTGTTTGCTCATCAATTTACATTATAGTAATTAAGGCGGCCATTTACCTAGTTCTTTATACATATGACGATATAGAAGAATTATTTTTTATATTTATTATAATAGACTTTGTTTTAAAAGTGTTAGGTTTGTTTATTCCTTGTACGCTTTCGTAATTTCACTTTTTGCTAACCAGGTGCCTTAAGATTTGTTTTATATACATTGTTTTAAAAATTTGTTCATAAAAATGTTATATACTAAAATTCGATATCGTATTTTTATACCGTCTTTTTAAACCATACCAAACAAAAACCATAAAATAATTTTCATCAATCAAAGACAGTTACAATTCAATAAAAACAATTATAACACCGGACGATGGTAAAATATCATAAAATTAATCATTCATCTTACTTATAATAAAACTGACCGCCATAAAGTTACTCGGCGAAGTTTCAAGTAAGCAAGAAACTGAATGGTGTCTTGGATGTGAGGTGGTTGGCCTGACGGCTGGAGCGAAGCGGAGGGCGCCACGGTCCGCTGCACCAGCGTGGTAATGACATTGAATCTCCGTCCGTTCATATCTCACTGCTCAAGTCATTAATTCAAGCAGGTTACACGGAAAGTTTCATGGCTTTAGTATCCACTTGTGTTAGGGAAGGTAGATGTCTATTTCGGGGTTAATTGTGGTTTTTGAAAAGTCATTTACTGTCATGAGGGACCTTTCAAAACACGTGACATACCTATTGTGTAATGATCTTTAAGTTTCTTGCAATAGGATAACTGTATGAAAATTACACACTCAGTTAATTGCGAAATCAAAATAGAAATTGTAGAAAAATAGTGTTTTTAAGTGTGGAGGACTTAGAGTAGAGATGCAGATTTTTATTTACATGTAGTAATTTCTAGAATACCTTAATTCACAATAAGTTGATATAACAATTAAGCATACTTGTTACCAAGTACCTAATAAACGATGCCATTCGACGTTCTAAGTAAATCAGTAAGAAATCCTTTGATGTGATTCATGGTTATAGAATATATTGAGCTACACTAATAAAAATAAATGGTAAAGCAAATATTTCAAGTACAACATTACAATTGAATTTAGTGGAAAAAATATTAGTGATATCACAGCCTCATAGAAAGCCGGCGTGAAACAATTCGTGCTCCTTTCCCCTCGTTATTGATTCGATTTTGGAGTATTGGGGAATGCTCCAAAATCCTCGAATTACCAATCTCCAAAAACCCGACACTATGATTTTCTCCTGTGTCGTGGGTGAGTTTTATACAACCATCCCGGAACAACGATTTGTGCGCAACAATGCGCCCATAACTAATCTAGTGTTGCAGGTGTCCATGGGCGGCGCTGATTGCTTACCATCAGGCAAACCTACTGTCCGATTGCCCTCATAAAAAGTCCAATCACCTTATTTACAAGACAATGAAAATAAAACTGACACTGAGATACTCAATTAATCTGGAGAATTAAACAATAATATGTTTGTCATTGAATCCAGTATCGTAGCGACTTCCAATAATTGCAGACCACTCGGTCAGTCTCATTGAGCAAATAGATAACTGTGACGTCAGAGTGTTAATGTCGACCAAACAATATTTGGACAAGATTTTATAAAGAAAAAGGATCCGATTGAGGTAATTCTAACTTTATTATATTTCCCTTTATTTGTTTATCAACTTTCGCAGTGAGGCACCACGGCCTCGGCCTAAAGCAGGAGAAGGAACAGGGGACTTTTTATATTATAGTTAGTAGTCAGCAAGAGTCTGGCACTCCCTCTCGCCTCACCCTGGGCGGGAGAAGTCTTTTGATAATTTTCCACTGATAAAAAAATGGTTAAATAAATAATTTTGACTACCATTTCGAAAATTAGACCAAAAAAATCAGACCTTAACCTGAATTAACCACAAACTAAAATAACTACAGGTGCAAACGTTAACTAGCTTCAATAACTTCACACCTTTCGATAGCCAATCAACTGTCAAATAACAAAACCCATAACGAAATTTACCGAACCGCAGTAAACGAGCTCATTCTCTAAAACAAATGATCTATGACACTTTAATTGATTTCAAACCTTAACTTTTTATCGCTAAAGTTGAATATTGAATTTAATTGGGACTGTTTCGGGAGCTTTATTCGCTCAGTACTCAGTAACAAGTGAATCGGTGCCAAGTGTTGGAACATTTCATCGAAAGTACCAGAGCGTAACTAGAGGGTATACGGTCTGCTGCGCACGCGCAAGTGACGGCCAAACGATGCTCTATGAGTGACATTTATAACGTAATTAAAAATAATAAGTACTTTGGTCAATGATGGTTAGTGCCTTGTTAGTCAATTGGTGGGCAGTCGCGAGTACCATTCCCGAGTCGGGTAGAGTATTATAAAGCTGTTAACACTTCTCTGAGATTCTTATTCAAGCTTCACTTTTAAGTGTAGATTTCAATGTCTTGGGTAAATAAATGTGATCGAAGAAAAAAAAGTATGGGCATTGTACTTAGTATAGATATGTGGAGACACTTTCTAATTGATCCTGTTTCTTCAAAAATTATAAAGTAATTTTATCACCTAAGTTTTAATATGGAATAGGGTGATCGGCATTCGGAGCTATCTATCTATGGACACTCACAATACCAATAATAGTTGAAGATTTAGGGATTGGGGGGGGGAGGTATTAAACCTCTGGTAACCACACTCATATCACACGTAAGTTTTTCCACACCTGTTTTCTGTTAATCTGTGGTATCACTCCGGTCGATTTGGCCCATTTGCATTCCCACAGTTGAAGTGGAAAAAATGGACCTTTGCTCTATTGATGACATTTACACATAATTATTTTATATCTAGTTAACATAGTCGTGTGAATAACGCTTGATTAATAACAATGTTTTTTATAGATAAGAACGTAGGCTTAATGTCTGCAGTTTGCAGTTTTGCATAGTGGGTGTATCACACGGTACGATAGAATGTATTTGTTGACAAGACAATATATTTGTTGTGAGCTAAAAATATATCTAATAGGGTTGTTTCAAGAGTCACGGTAGTGTTTTTTTGTATTGTATATTTTTTTATTAGTCGCTTTACTTATTTTTGCTGTTTCTACTGGCCTGTTGTATGGATTGTAATAATTATTTAAATGATTATTAGTAGTAAAATATAAGATTTAAATTTGCTTGCTGTAACTGTCTATGGTTTTTTGAATGAAATTGACGTTGATAGGAAAGACTTTACGCTCTTACTTTTTAAGAAAAATCATACTGAATAAATATTAGGTACGATACTTATAAATAAAAACGCATTAAAAAAACAAAGGATATATGAGTCATGTAGTTATGCATAGGACATGCAGATAAATAATGATTAAATGCTTTAAACTACATACAACTTACTCACACTAATCCTTGGCGAACAAATGTTCCAGCTGCATAGTCCCACTACCTACCTAGTTAATGTTTAAAAGACCTACTTTTCATTATTTAATCGACATTGGAATAATTAATCCAATATTAAGATGACTTGTTCTAAGCCGTATCTAGTTTAGTAATAAGGAAGCGACAATTGAATTAGAGATGAAGACACCGGTCTGTGTATAAGGTTGTCAAATACTGTCACAGCGTGCAAGACTTGCAAATATTATTGCTACTTACTTTTAAAAATTTTGCATTTCAGTTGAAGAATGGACAGGGCTGTTAATATTTGCTGATGTTGATGGTTATTTTTAATGATAATCATGATTAAATTTTACGAGCTTGGTTTTCCAGTTAGCTATCAAAATAAAATAATACCAGATCTTTTTTTTCACTGAAATGATAAAATCAGGCGACGATTTACAACAAAGCGACGACCCTAATTATTATTATCTCTGCTAATAGAACAATAATGTGTGTCATGTTAGGTCGTAGGTCGCGTAATCTACACATTGTCGTTGACCGACGCGCACGGTAGTCTCCCGGTCTCATTGATGTCCGCGTACATTTTTTTTCTTTTAACAAAACTGTCATTTTACGCGCCATTCGAATTCTCAATTTGACAGTTCGATTTTTTTTAACTCAAGTATTCATCTTTCTGTCTAGTTTTTGTCAAAGAGGTATTTAAACTGTAGTGTGGATGTGGAACTTTTTAGCTCGCAACAAGCAGGTGGCTGCGATGTTGGGTCTGCTGGCTGTGGCTGCAGTAGTCACCATCGCGCTGACTACTAAAGGCCGTGGTTATGCTGCAGAGGTTCATGGAGTTGAGGAGCCCGAAGACATCAGCCCGGCGAGTTATGTGTTTTCAGCACATAAGTGAGTAATAATTGTTATTATTTGTCACTAGAGATCAAACAATAGTAATATTTTTATAATCTGACCTTTTTAGAGCGCTCACCCCAAATACTATCTATTTGCTTACTAAAAGAATGACGAAAAAATTGGTACTTAATTTTTAAGAGTAGATAATAACTACAAACATGTTTTGTGTTCAATACCCGTGTCAGGTATGGTGGATTGACTTTTTCAATTTTTCAGTTCTCATATCGCAGATTATATATATTACTTACTTATTTTGATTTGCTTCGTGACTTTTACATGTGGTATTAAAGTTACCCTATATCATAATTCATCCCGGGATAGGTGCGAATTAACTTATTAAGTTTTACGTAATATTTGCTTGTTTATTATTCGGCTATTTGGAATTGTGTTGACTTACGTACCTATAAAACTATAAATGCATGTTTAATGGATTTCGGCAAATAAACTCGGATTCCTTTTAGTAAAATTAAATATAATCCTGGTACCTACATAGTTACTTTTTCACTAGTTTACTTAACATCAATTATTTCTTCACATATTTGTTTTCTTTTTTTTCATTGTTATTATACGAGTTGTCAAAATTTAGAAAAGTATAGCGGAGTCAAGTTACGCTAATTATTATTTTTGAAAAGCGTCCTAACCTGTTATTAATTATGAGACATATTTTATATAAGTTAAAAACTTGAGCTAACAATAAAAAAATAAACGCCTGCTAGAAATTAGGACGCAATGGTATTAAGTATCAAAAGCTATTCATTTATTTGAAGGCGCCAGATTGTATTATGTCATTTAGAACATTTGCTCTGGTAATGATGGTAGGCGTTGATAACATGGTTTCTTGTAATATGTTTGTCTATTATTGTCAGTTGTAATAAAATGCCATGCATGCCAAGTGTCTTTAACTTTGTTTTTAATTTTATACCTAACTCATAGTATGACGTCAGGATTATCCTTAGTACTAGGTATTACCAGATGCATCACGCAATTCGTTTATGAATGCGAAGGAAGGTAGAGAAGTATGATTATAATAAATAATTATGTAGGATAGCCTAAAGTAGCATTGTATACCTACGACTTTTAGCCTACTCCCATACCACAAATTTGTGGGCTTGTATTGTACCAATATTATGTTTTTAAATTGCCATATGTGTGTGTATTGTCACATCCGATTATCAGCCTTTAATGATTAACTGCTAAATAAAGGTCTTTTCTCACACGGGGATGAGCTTATCGTTATAAGAAGTCCAGGTTTTCTCTCCATGTTTACCTGAGCCATTTAAGACACCACCTTAGCTTAAAAAATCAAATAGGAAAGACCTTTTTATAAATGTTATGAAATTTCATACGTTCATGTATTTCATAATAATGTTTATTTTGCAGCCTCCCATCGAATGATAAATTCATGCCGTCAATTGGTAATGGACATATAGCCACGAACATTTTCAGTGATACAGTTTACATGAATGGACTGTATAATGGGATTGGCGGATACAGCCACCGGGCCAGGATTCCATCATGGGCCAATATCAGACTGAATTCGACCTTGACTCACTTCCCTTATAGTCCAATTTACAGTTTGGACACAAAAGAAGCAGTTTTTAAAGTAAGAGTTGATAGAGAGAGATCGGTGGTCACTCAGAGGATATATGCGCATAGATTCTACACGAGAGCTATCGTGAATCAAATTCGAGTTGATTCTAAAACCCATTACGGTATGATTTTTTTTCTAGTACTGCTATTTTAACCTAAACATAGCCTAGGTATATATGTAAAGTAAAAAGCTATAGTTAATTGTCATCTCTCTACACAGATTAATTTTTGCAAAAAAAAAATTGTTCCATTGAGCATGTTTCAAAAGATTTTGTTAGAAAAAGGAAAAGCAACTAAAATTAGAAATTTGCTTTGTGTAAAGAGTAGGTACAAAATGTTTTTTTTATAAACTCTTCTGTTTTAGTTTAGTTATTTTTTTTTTGCTTACTATGTTCAGTTTAGAATTAATTTTTAACTAACATTTTAGATCCCAATTTCGTGAATCAAGAAATCTGGATAGCAATCAAACTAATGCCTGGACCAGAAAGTGAAGACATCGCGTTTTCCGATCCTGTACCAGAAATCATAAATGGTAGAACAATTTGGAATGTATGCGGACAAACTATGGAATCCGAAGACCTGGCTTATCAACCGTTACCAGTGGATGTCTGTGCTTACTGGACTTCAGTGCCTGATCATCTAGTGGTACCTCAACATGGCTCTAGGGTTTTCACCTTTGCAATGACGGCGGATAAAAATAAGACTGTAGCTCGAGAGGAGCTGATCAAAGGTTAATTGTGATTTTATTTTCCAAAATCTTTGTTTATTTACAAGATCCATATGTTTTTAGTAAAAGTACTTATTAACCTAAATTCATTAAGAACCCTACTCTGTGTACAAAACTGAAACGTCTGACACGTGGTTTGTTGTATACAGTGAACCAACATGGGGTTGTTCCACCTATCACACAATACATTCATACGAGTCAGTACTTACTTTTAATTAACACGTTACATTTTTATGGTAAAACTAGGCACTGTGATTGAATGTTTTTACTCGCTTTGTAGCACAAAATCTGAGGTTTCAACCGGTAGTTGTATATTATGGTCATAGATTTATCTCTATTAATCCTCTTCCTATAACAAAACTTGTTGAAAAACGAATGCTCCATTAATCATGTGAATTTTTAACAAATATTTAGAGTGTTTCCCAAAGATTTCCCCCATGCCCCCATGCCATGCATTCCCCCGTGCCCAAGTCCAAATATTCTGTTACTTTTTATAACTAAACTTCGATTCCGGTAATGGTGTCAACATATGGTAAAGTTACACACTTGCATAGTATTGCAGGAGGATGGCGAGGTGTTGTACCAGAAACACGTGGATCAATGGCAGAAGCTGTACCACCAGGGAGGCATGGAGATTGAAGGAAACTTGGAATTGGTAAGTGCAGAATTCTTTCTATTTTTAAACTATCAGTTCAGGAGCAGTCTTCCTATTTTATTGGGTAGATTTTTGTTTAATCTTTTATAACAATCTTTATCTGATAATGACGAAGATGACAAAAAATTACCTATTAGCGAAATTCGTTTAGCAATTCCTGAGTTTCGTTCGTTTTCGTTCTAGCAACACAATTTACGTATAATAATAATTTAATTAGATATTAAACCTATTTCTACTTTCATCACTGAGCCCATGTTAATATTTCAATGTTTTATTTTAATTTTGTCTCTGCAACACTTAAAAGTTTACCTAGTAAACATCCCTACTTCACTTTTCAGGGCAAGATTGTGAATGGTATTTGGTACTATTTCTTGAGTGCTTTGCCTTCTGAGGAGTCTTTTCAATCTCTGGGCCGGTACTATGGGCTCAGCCCGACTGGGCTGGCGAGAGGTGGCACTTTTGAAGACTATGAAGGTAAGCTTTTTATTTGAAAAATTATTCTGTTAATATTTAAATCGCATAGGTCCATATCTCAAAAGGCCAATTTTCAAGTTTTTAATATTTTACTAATACCTAAGCCCTTTTTTGGAGGAGGACAATGATCCTATGATTACTTTCGTCATCATTCTCTTTTTTATGGTGAGAAAATCGTTCAGTGATTTCTTTCACTCTGCGTGGGGCAAGGGAGTTTTTTTTTTTTCTTCATACAAACAACAAACTTCTCCGTTCCTTCTCTTGTTCCAAGCCGGGCCGCGGTATCTTACCTATCTAATTGTTATTACTTATTATTTCAGGTCATAACTTCTGGGACACAGAAACATGGATGTTCCCTTCAATCCTGTTGCTGTACCCTCAGTATGCAAACAAGTTGCTGCAGTATCGCCTGGACACCGCGTATGTGGCTGCAGACCTGGCAAAGATCACTGGACATAAAGGATACAGGTCAGTAATTAATAAACTTTAGTAAATTTCCTTAAGTAAGACAGTCTGCCATAATCACCAATATTTCAAGAAGGTGGAATGACTATCATAGTTTAAAAAGTTCGGGTTTATCAGAGAACTCCACCAGCGTCTTTCGAATAGGAATTTACTGCTTCAGTCACCTATTCTGATGAATCATAACGCACGTCTTCATAAGCTACCTTCTAAATAAAGCAAAAAACCATAATTGGACATCGATTTCCACCGTAAATACTTTATAATTGAGGTTTTGGACAAATCTACGTAAATTCAATACTTATTGCTTTTTTATGAAGCGAAATGCCAAGTGAAAATTACTTGTCTGGGTAAGGTAAGAGAATGTTAGACTTTGTGGCTAACTTCCCCTCCGTTCTTTCTTCTGATCGGGGCTGAGGGTGGGGTACCTTGTTGCGCTTGACCCACAATGCTGGCTGAAGTCTAGAAAGCTAAAAGGTATCTAAATCCGAAAATTCAGATTGAGCTGAGTTATCATATCGATTAGAATCGAGGTCAGATATCTACCAGTTCGGTCGTAACCTCTTTATATTTTTATTCTCCAGATATCCATGGGAGAGTGCATATACAGGAGTGGAGGTGACGCAGCCATGTTGTCCAGACGTTGCGACCTTCGAGCAGCACATCAGCGGGTGTATTGCTTTCGCCGTCCGTCAGTACCTGTCTACGACACGAGACGAGGAGTGGTTGAAGGTAAAAGCTGATGTATTAAATTAATTCTTACGGCCTAAGAGCCGAGCAGCGGGTGAAACCGCGCGCCAGAAGTTAGTGTTGTATATTTTAATATTTTATTTATTCAGTCTATCAAATAGGTTCTACACAAATATACATAAAAGCAACACATGTATTTAAACTGTACACTGTAATAACTACCTAAATACTTGAAACAAGACATGTAAACTAAACGATATTGTTAACAATATGAAACCCGAAAATAATAGATATGTCAATTGGTATATAGATAACATATATCTGTTAAAAAGTATAATTTACCGATGCCATTATGTGCACTCTTTCGGACATCCAAGACGACAGTATTTTCTCAACTTATGGTCTGACCAACCTTTGGTCTAGTGGTATTCTTTAACTTTCCCGTTGAATTTCTTATTTAATATTTCCAGCATGGTGGTTGTGACATAGTCACAAAGATCGCAGACTTTTGGGAGTCACGCGCCGTGATCAACTTTAATACCGGATTATATGAAATAGCAAGTAAGAATAATGTGTATCTTAATATTTTGTTTTTGAAACTACATGTGGCAAAAAGTACGTTTGACATAAATCTTTATTGTTATATTTGAAAATGAATCATCTAAAAATAATTAGATGTTCACTATCATAGCGAAGAAATCATCACTATCAAAGAAAGTAGACGCATTATGCGTCTTCTCTCAGAGATAATAATAATTTCTATACGAGCTACATATAAAATGTTGGTGCCTTTCTCGTTACAAATCTACACTATGAAAAACTTCAGATTAATGATTTTAACTAACAGATAACAGAATGAAAGGTTTAACCAACTGATAGGCATATTAATGTTTGATAGATTTAAAAGGATTTTGTTAGAATAGCCAAACTTTTTCTTACATTTGATTTTATTTATTTTCAGACGTGATGGGTCCTGATGAAGATCATCGGAATGTCACAAACTCGGTGTTCACTAATGTAGTGGCTGGATACTCGCTGTACTTAGCTCAGTAAGTGCAGGATCTTTATCTATACTAATATTATAAATGCGAAAGTAACCCTGTCTGTCTTGTCTTTTATTCACGCCTAAACTACTGCACCGATTTCTGTGAAATTTGGTACAGACGTAGTTTGGAACACGAGAAAGGACATAGGATAGGATTTTTTATACAAAAAATCTGCAGGAAGTCAATCAGTCCACGCGAATGGAGTCGCGGGCAAAAGCTAGTGTGTCCAATGATGTATAAAACTATAGATACGTTATCCGCGCTCTAAAATGACAACATGAAATGAAGGCAATTGACAACATCGCGCTTAGTTACGCACCAACCTGCCGAGCGACGCTACTTTTGTTTTTAATTTATATCGTGTGTGTAAACCTGTGCGAAACATAAAGAAAGCATGCCGTCGTGTGTGTTCAGACGATGTACAAATTATACTCCAAAAGTTAAAGACAAAAATGTGTCATTTCATGCGTAAGTTCACCAAACAACCTATTTTTATTTTATTTTTTCGACGCCGGCGCCCGCCATCTTATGGCGGCCGGCGCATGAAGGTATAGTCACGTGCCGATGTAACTGAAGATGTATATTTATCTCCCTCTAGCAAAGGCATTCCACTATACGATGTCATATTTTCTTTCCCTTTCTTTACTCGTAGAAGTAGTTATCTAGTATTTTCGCGCGATGTTGGTTCATGACGTGTCTATATATAATACGTCATTGAGTGTGTCTATATTTTGTAAAATACTGTCGGTAATCACAGATAGTTGTCGTTTTGGGAATAATCAGAGTATCTAAATGATTTGAAGGTACTTGATAATCCTCTATAAGCGGTTAAAAATACACATTCCAACCAGCCAACGTCGTATATTGGCATCTAGCTGGTCTTACTGGTCTTACACAACCGTCTGACAACCCAAAGTAATAAAAGAGCATGTAGTATTTCGATTTGCGCTTACTTATGTATCTATATAATATGTTTTTATAATAACTATCGTTATACATACTAAATTAACTAAAAATCGCGGGTTTCTCACGTGTGTAATTGAGAAAGGCTCTACTAGTTTCGAACCACAGAGGGGTTCTTCCTCATGAGCAGCGTGCGCGGACACGGCGACATCGCGCAGCCTACTGTGTGTACTGTTAAATATTATTTTAGAAATGTAATTTAAAATTTGCAAAGCCTGAAAAAGGCCGCTAAGCTCTGCCTGTTATTTTCTTTTGAGACCCCTGTACTTTTATTACCTTAACATGCATATAAACAATTTGAGTTTATTAATTCCAGATATGTATCATGCCTCTGCAAGTCCTACTACTTGGCTAGGGATCCGGACCATTATGCAGACATCGCATGGAGCCTGGCACTACCCTACGATGAAGAGAACGACTACCATCCTCAATTTACTAACTACCAACGAGGGGAGGAGATCAAACAAGCTGATGCTGTGCTATTGGGCTTCCCCTTGCAGTATAGCATGAATATGTGAGGATACATTTTCTTTATTTATTTCCTTTTTTTATTTATTCTACTCTAGGTATTTGTCATGTCTCGTGGGTTTATAAACAGACATTTTGGCATACCAGCACATTATAACGAGTATAATTATAAGCACATTATAACTCTAATAATTGCTATCTGAATTAATTCCTATAGGAATATGCACCTATCTTTGTACCTCTTTTGACATAATGTGTTTTGTGTTAAAATATTAAATATTTTGTGTGCTTAAATAAATAAATAAATAAATAAGTTTGAAGCGTTAAAGATTTATGGGCAATCACCTAGTGTAGCATAGTTACTAGTTACCTACAGATAACATAGCAGGTACAGATCCGTCGGGGGGTTGCGACGAATGCTTCGGCGATACCCGCCCCTCCGACACATGGGTTATTGGAGGAACACCGGGTTGGTTTTTAGTCAGTAAGAGTCTGACAGTACCCTTCGCCCTTACCCCGAGGGCGGTGGGTCTCCATGAGGATTTTCCAACCCGACACCAAAAAAAAAAAAAAAAAGCAGGTACAGATTCATCCCGCCAAACTGAAGAAATCGTAACTGTGATTTAGCCCTTTTTAGAAATTCATGAATAATTCCTAGGTTTTCATACGATTTTATTCGACAGTGTAGTCTTTACTACTTAGTATAAGTTCTGTGTAATTTATTCTGCACTTGCAACCTAAATGGGGTTCGTAATATAATTTTCTTTGGGAAAACTTTTCCTTGTGAATGTTGTTACGCCTATGTTCGGCAGTAAATATCTTGTAGGTAGTTATTACGTAATATGGGAGTTGCTATATCAATTTTATTGTGATAATTTTCCAGTTCTACACGTCTCAACGACTTGACATACTACGAGTCTGTAACTCGCGAGAATGGTCCAGCCATGACGTGGAGCATGCACACTATTGGTCATCTGCAGTTGGATGACGACGCCAAGGCTGAAGAGATGTTCAACAGGAGCTATGAAGGTTTTGTTAGAGAACCATTCAAGGTTTGAAAATCGTATTCATTTGAATTCTTATTTTAAATTTCGAAAAACCTAAGTACATTTAAACTGTTGGGTTCTTTTTGGCCAATCGAGTATTTTTGGGTTGCTTGTTTTAAATTGTCATGTTACCTATTCGATTTTTGAAAATGTCAGACCTGACCTGAGTACCTGTTTGAGTTGTTCCCAACGTAGGTACCTACCTAGCTACAATATGCTACATTGCTCAAAGCTAAGAAGGCACTTTATATTGCAAAAGACCTATATAATGTACAGAAAAATTGTATAATATAATACTAATTTGTAAGTGGGAGAGCCATACTTTGGTACGAATGGGTCGGCTCGACCGGTGTGGCACCACGGCGTCACAAAAATCGGCGTGTAACAACCACAGCGTTGTTTCGCCGTGTGAGTGAGGTTACCAGAGGCCCAATCCTTCCCCTCCCCAATTTTAAAATCTAAATCTCCGAATCCCTAATCCCAAAAGGTAGAGATGCACTTGTAGCTCCTCCGTTGTTGGTAGTGTCCATGGGCGGCGCTGATTGCTTACCATCAGGTACTCAGTTAGATAGTTTGCCGACCGATCACATTAAAAAATCGTTTCTAAGGAGAGTTACTCACTGACTTAACTAAATTCATACGTAGATATGGACCGAACTCCGCCGACCTGACTCCGGCGCTGTCAACTTCTTCACTGGAATGGGAGGATTCCTTCAGACTCTGGTCTTTGGCTACGCTGGCGTCAGCATACATCTGGACAGGCTGGAGATCAACAAACCTCGTCTGCCACCTAAAGCTACTAAATTCACTATAAGAGGTGGGTGGGTCAAATACATTTTTAAATAACATAAATATCAATAATTATTTTTTGAAACAACAGCCAAGATGAGTATTTTGCTTGACAAATTGTACCTACATATGTACTTTTTTACCCTATTTTAATACATAAATAGTAGAAAATTATACGTTATGTCATTAGTAGGTAAGTAATATACCGAAATGTGACAGAATTTCGAATTCCAAATTTCGAATATAATTAGAATTTAATTCTCATTTTAATTTTCAGGCATAAAATACCTCGGCTCGAACTTAACATTGGAGGTTTCGGCGAACAGCACGAAGTTGAGTGTGACCTCCATGGATGATAACTGGCGACTGGCGCTGAACGACGGGAAATATACCGTCACTTTAGCACCCGGCATTACTGGTGAGGTTATAATCATTATCTAATGTTAATTAATAGATGTTCTATGTCCTAGGTATAAAGGTCAATTTTACTTGGCTAATCGCTTACGCAAGTTGTTGTAAGTAATAAGTAACGTTGTAATATAGAAAAACATTTTCGTCTTGTTTAGTGATGACAATTATCGGAGGCCCAATCCTCCCCAATCCCCAAATACTCGATTCTGAAATCCCTAGCAAGAAGCCCAGTAACGGACTTGTAACTCTTCTATTGCTATTGCTTAAGTACTCCAAGGGACCTAAATGCTTGTTTATGGCATTAAAAACAACAACTAATTTAGTTGAGTATCAGATTCGATTTCCAGGCTGCCAAAAAAAGTGTATTTTATACATACCAAATACTGTTAATTTTTTTTGTTTTTAGAAAAAAAGAAGTACTTAGGGCGGTTTCTATAATAAATTTGTACTCGCGTGTGACGCAATCCTTTGCTTACCCTTTATAATTATTATTAGTACCTACCTACTGTTATAATATTATTATTGTATATGTTTCAGTAATATTACCGGGAGCTGGACCGTTCACGGTGTACTCTGAACCTTGGAAGGATTGCAAACTGCCGGCTGATATCATTGGACACAATTACATAAGGCCTGATGGAACATAGATTTTTAATTTGGTTTTAGATATATTTTATTCGCCATATAAGTACTTTAATGACAATAGAATTTCCCTCCGTCCTAGAGTAGCTTCAGGATGACTTTCCATAAATTTTGTAATAATAATAGGTAAAAAAAAATGTAGATCTCCCGTGTTGTTGTCGTTTTACGATATGATCTGGTAATATCAAATATTTAAGATTAATTTTATTTATGTAAATTGTAAATAAACACTTCGAATTCAACCATTGCTCACTTGAGTATTGTCCCCAGGTATTCAAAAAAAAAAAACAATGGATAGATTTTAAAATTATATTTCAAAATAAATTCTAAATAGTATTGCATTTGTATCTAAATTATTCCGAATACATCAATAATATCGTCGCTTTTAATTATGATGTCATTACCAATATTAAATCAATAATAAACACGGAAAAAACTCTTCACAATCTTGTTAAACAAGAAATTCATTAACATAACAATATTACATTTATGTTATTTAAGACTTTATTACAATAGCACAAGGCATCTATTAGCACCATTTTGTTTTTCTTAATACTACGGAAGTGGATATTACAATAAAGCAAGGATATACAGAGTATATTTTTAAAATAGTAGGTTTTTTAAATAAGACGTGCAAACATTATTTGAAGATGGTAAAATATACTTAATAATTATTTATAAATTTTATCTGTTTTCTGAAATTTAAAAACTTTTATTCTTGAAGATGTTCGTCTCCGAAAAGTCAATTTTATTTATTGTTTATTTATTTAAACATAGGTTTATTAACCGTAATATTATGACTACATTAATAAATGTAGCATTAAAAAATATGCTCAAAATGGTCGGTCGTATCTCGATCTCTTTGCATGATGTGAATAATTATAAAAACATTTTCTACAAAAGGTTCTGTTCATATCAAGACTATCTACATTTTATGTACCTATCAAATATTTTTTAATAGTATAAAACTGGCATCCTTTTTGAGCTCGTCTAATCCGAGTATAAATTTAGGTAAAAATGATAGGGATTCTTCAAAAATAAAAAGGTGTTAGAACTGCCATTAATATTGATGATTTTGTGACATATGTACGAATATGTCTCTATAGATCATTCGTATTAATAATTTTTAAACTCCGTCCATCTCCGTACAGCAACATTGTTACGTGTTATGCTCACAAATAGATATGAATTATTATCACTAGAATGCAACTGCCACTGACCTATAAACGTGATAAAAAAGAACAAATTGATAAGAAATGAATTTTTGATGCTGCGAATTTGCCCTCTGTAAGTATGCTTCTCTATCACGTAGCGTAAAAAATTGTGTCTTTTATTACAAGTGTATGAGTATGTATATGACTATGTAAAACGTCATTGTGTACGGGTAATGAAATAAAATTAAGTAACATAAATATTTATGTAATAGCACAGATGGGATTTATTGATATACATATATGTACTTTAGGATGTGTGTTGTTTGAAGGCGTGAACGGAATCAGGGCATGCTGAAGACACCTTTCGGGGAACATAGACTCCAAGCAAAAGGTGGTACGATGGGGGAAAAACGAGGGAAGAAATAAGTTGCGGAGTTACCCCGCGCTGAATCCGACTCCGAAAAAAAAACCAAACGACTTGCAACTATGCCTTTGTTGACTTCGAGGCTTTGAAGTCGGGCCTCCACAAGCGCATTGTCGATAACGAGTCTCTTGGCATATTTGCTAAAGTGTTCTAATATGTCTAGCTGCATTTAAGCCGAACCGTCTCAAATGTGAGAGCATTGCTCCAAGCTGGACCGAAGTTGCGCTTACGGTTGACTGTATTACGTCACTATTCCATGACAGTGAGAACGAGACAGGACATAAGAGATTTTGTTTAAAAATCTAGATATATTTATCGGTAGGTATTTAAAGCACAACACCTGAAAGTCTAGACAATAATCACGACACAAATATGAGAATTTTATTATTGATTTATTAATAAAAGAAGAAATTCAAGTCCCAGCGTAAGCATATTGGGACTTGAAGTCCTGCATACGATTTTAACAAACACCTTTGCATCAAATAAATACGTTGTACTTAAAACCTATATTACTAACACACATTACATGGTCAAAGCCTATGCAAAACACAGAAAGATAATATAAAGCCTACAATACAGATTCAAACATCTAAAGAAAAAACAAAGAAAATAGTCAAAACAAAATGAAAGCTTAAAAAGAATAGTATACAAGATAATACTACATAATGCGATCAGAATCTGAAACAATAGTTAAAAAAATGAAAATAAAACATTAAAAATCAATATTTCTCATTAAAACTATAAACATTTACTAAATTAAAGGTAAGTTGGTGATAATTGTGATAATATGGTCTTATCAAAATATACCTATGTCATTAAAATAATCGTTATCAAGTATTTTAATTAAACTACAACGGAGCTTATCACAGGGAGCTTTGGAATATCATTGTGGAATGTTATTAAAACTATTTATTATTAATTAATAATAATAATATCTCCCTTTTAACCTAACAAACGCTGATTTTACTCATTAAAATTAAAATAAGTGATAAGTAAATTAATTTAGACACTTTATCTCTTAATTAAAATGTAATTTAATTTTAGAAAATATATTATTTTATATTTCCGTTAATTTTGTACAAAAATTAATAACGTGAATCACGCAATTTAGGTTGTACTTATCATACCAAATTTGGAAATAAGGACAATTTTTATAAAAAAAAATGTCATGAAAATTGGTTTAACTGTTTTTGAGTTGTGAGTTATATGAAAATTATTCATTATTGAATTTTAGGAAAAAACGTCAGCGTTTATAGGATTTTTGTTGACATTACACACCACACCAGATTAGTTAAAACTAATTCAAATTGATATAGATTGGTTTACTACTGCTAGAATAACAAAATTTTAAGATAGACAATGAAGTTCCTAAAAAATACATGAAAAGTATCATATGAAAGGGAAAAGTTTATTTTTCAATATCTAATTGTATTAAAACGTCGAATTAATTTATTTTTGACCTAGGAAACAACCTAATTATATATATATAATATATAATTGGGTTGTTTCCCTGCAGGTCAACTTGCTACTCCTTCCCAACCGATTTGTAACTTTATTATAATGACATAAAAGTAAAAATCTAATGATAAAAAGTTTAGTATGGAATAGGTTGACCTGCTGACCTCTATGCCTAATAAAAAAAGGTTGTAGAACTTCTTTAAGTACCAACATATGTTATGATCGTTAAATGCATTATTTATGTTTATTCAACAGCGATGTTCTTAGATCTATTTTAGTCCTAAATTGTGGACTAGATATTAATTATGCATGATTCAGTACTACCTCCAACTGACATTATAAAATATTGACACTTCAACAACGCATTTTTCTACCAAAAGCCAGTTTATGTAGAAAGGACGTGAGTTTTATATTAAAAAATAGCCGAACAATATGATATAAATTAATTAATTCAATATCGCTGTAATATCCATATATAACTTGTATGTACATTGTGCAATATGAATAAATAAATAAATAAAGATTACTTTACTTTTAGTGCTGATTTTTCAATGGTTAGATGAAACTTATCTGTGGAATAATTATGATGCTGTCGCGTCAGAATGTTGATATAAGACAGTGACAGCAACAATTTTATTTCACTGATAACAAATATCTGACTATTGAAAAATCAGCCCTTAAACTAATATGGTATGTTTTGAAATTCACGATTGGAAAAATTAAAATGGATAAGTACCTCATTCTTTGAAACCATAATTATCGATGCGTAATATACATATTACTGCTTAAGATAAGTCAGTATTAAAGATAATAACCATTATCAGATAATCTACAGCCAAAACGTGAATTCATTTGATTTGGCCTCGAAATTTAGTAAATTTTTTAATACGAGTATAATATATCAGGGTAAAATAAAATCAGATCTGTTTTTAGTACACACAGCTAAAACTAAAATATACAACACAATTCGTTATTAGGGCATAGATAAATATTATAATTTATTTACATACTTTATTAACATACACATTTTTATTCTGACGTTTATCGACTGGGGCAAGAGCGTAACGGATTCACTAAACAATCCGAAAACTAACTTAAAACTTAATTACAAGAAAATAAGATTAACAATTCCATGGCTCGCCACATCTGACTAAAACTAAGCACTGCACTTTCTCTATAGCAGTACTCTGAATATAATAAAAAGTAATTTAAATTCTAGTTTCTTTAAAACAGGAACGAAAATAGGCAATGATATATAATAAGCTTACAAACAAAATTCACACAAAAATATTGTAATAAAAACAACCATTCCTTTAGGTCTAACTCTTAAAACTTAAAAAAGAGTGAATTACATTTCAAAAAGATCTAGAAAATAGAAACAAATTGATCCTAGATCTCTTCAAAACGAAATTTTATTAGTTCACATGAGAATCAAGTCCTTATGGACTAAACAACATTTCTCGTTAGACCGAACTATGAACGTATTCGGAGTTATTGAATGACTGAATTGACCGAACTAAACAGGTCGTAAAAGTCAATCCTACGCTGTCACCCCGAGTCGGAATTTAGCTGTAAAGGTAAAGGCACACATCCTGTAGTACATTTTTTCTTTTAACCTAGGTCGAAGCCAACAATATTGTCTAAATTGTAATTAAATATCCTGTAGTCGTGTTTGTAGAGCTTGTACAGTTTCCTGATGAGGGGCAGGTCGAGTTGGGAGAAGTACCTGTGCAGTTTCTCCGCGGTACCCGAAGTGTGATCTAAGCGCGGGAACTGAATGTGGGATGCGTTGATCGTATGAAGCGCTAATGTGGAATCTTCCAGCAAGGTCTCGTATTTACCTGGAATTAAATTAAGGTTTGTATGAGAATACGGTAGTTTCCAACTAGTCAAATTCAATACTTTTATCGAAATGTCAAAAACGATAATTTTCTATGAATCATGTATGAAATAGCAAGTTGTGACGCCATCATATTTTAATGTCAAATAATATACTTATTTCTCTTGATTTAACAATAAAAATATGAATATCAAGTTTATCGTAAAATTATTAATGAAGGAATGATTGTTTTTCAGTATTTTTATAGTTTTATACGTTGAAATAATTAATTTTGACTGAGGATACAGGCCAATTCGAGTGCAATCGAGATTGACATTGGTAGCGCTATTGCTTACAATAGTAAAAAGGGTAAAGTAGGCTTAGAACTATATAGGCCTGTGGCTCAATTTTAAAGGAAGGTTCATGGATGTAGGTAAAATAAAAGAATATCTAATGAGAGTGTCTAAACACTCCAATACAAAATACAACATAATAGGTACTCTAAAACAGTTCAACTTTTCATTTTGACTTTACAATGCAAAAATCTTTTGTTTGAGGAAGTCCAAATAAGTCAGCATACCTTCAAATGCAGAATTGATATGCGGACTAGATAAAGGCAGGGAACGACAGGACGTAGCGTCAAGAATGCTCCGTTATTATAATATACGAATACTCAGAATTCTGGTTCTAGGAAAACGATGTTAGGCATTGAAGTTGGCGGGTTCTTGATAGAAACTGAGCTATAAACATTTTGGTATTTTAAAAATAAAGTATTTTAGAGTCCTAGTTTAATAAGAAACTATACTACCATATTGAACTAATTCTTAAAAGATTTTTCGTATTTGAAAACTGTGCTATACTATTTAGCGATCCTCAGTGGTAAAAAAAAAACATATTTGTTTTTTTAATGTTAATCTAAATAAGACCACGATTTTACGAAGCAAGTAGAAACTAAGTATTTTAATTGGCTATTACTGTGTGTGACATTAATATAACTCTCCATTTTTAAAGCCAAAATTATCTAGATCATTAATTTGTGTAATTAATCTAATAGTTAAACACAAGTTGCCGCCTTTCGCTCATTATAACTTTTCACATACTTCAACTAATTAGCATTGCGGCAAGTTGAAAAATTAATCATTTTTAATATCTTCTACTTTTGAAGCCACATTATTCTACCGCTATAGATTCCATCTTTATCTGCTCAGCGTGAAATCTATATTGCTGTCCTTTTCTGTCTGGCCATGGTTTCCCAAAATACTTAGACATTCGACAAGCTGTGACTGCCTAAAAACGTTCCTAGAACTGTGACACGCGATACTGTCGTCAAAAATATCCGGCCCAGTTACTGAATATAGGAATTATAATGTAAAATCTGTTTAGGCAGCTTCTGAAGCTACCTACTTGAAAAAATTGTTATTGACGCATGTGAATAAGGCATTAATGGCGCGAGATGTTTTTTTCACAGTCCGCGAACTAATGCGTCTTCCAAATGTCTTTAGGATTGATTACTATAGCATCAAAAGAGTCTGTAGTTAAACAGTTTTTGCAACGATGAAGGCCATAACAACAGTTTTGACAGTTCATAATATTATATTTCTAGAATAATCTTCAAACAGATTATTGATGAACTGCTGAACTGATGCTTAAAAAATGATTATTATTTATTTAAAAATCACGTCTTCATCCTAGCAGGCAAGTTATGATGATACCATCATATAAGGCAAAGCGTAGTAAGTTACCACGGCTCGACTCGGAGAAGGAGTTGGAACGGGATGGGTTTTAGTCACTAAGAGTCTGATACTTCTGGAAGCGGTAAGAACCATTCGATGATTTTTGACCCTTAAAAATCCATTTCATAGGAACCAGAAAGATCTAAATCCGCAAACCAAAGTATAGACTATTCTTATAGGTTATATTATAGGCATAACTTCATTGAAAATAACGACAAACTTAAATAAATTTACTGAGACTAGCTCTCATAATTTCAAGTAACAACGGGACTCTTCATTTATAATCCACGTGCACTCCGAAGTCAGTGCGATTTGAAACAAGGAAAGCGTGTCTTAGTTAATTCAGCTAAGTAAATCGTTACTTTTAATAAACCTAGTATGTCTCACGATACTTACTATATAAAAATGTTGATATAGCTATAAACTAATTACATAAAGAGAAGACATAGAACAGTCAACATAATTACGAATATGTGACGTAGATGGCGTGGAAATAATTATTACAGAAAGGTCAAGGTGAAGCCAATCTGTCTACCTCGGCTGGTTGTCGAAGCTGCTGAGATTCAGAAACGTTGCGTTCATATGAGACTAAAAAAATAAGATATAAAAGGAATTACATAGCGACTGTTGTCGTTAAGATTATGTAAAACCTTGAATGTTGTGAGTTATAAAAATATTTAGTGTCTACTACAATTTAATTTGGTGTAAAGGATCTTGGTAATTTGAAGACTATTATAGTCAACTTCGAAATGGCTAATGATAGTGGTAGACGAAAAAAAACTACTAAGTGTAAGTCTAAGAGTCCAAAAAAATGTACTTTGAATACAATGACATTTTAAGTAGATTTTTCTGGATTTATTATTTGCTCGTGGGCAAAGAAAACATTAATTATATTATTATTTGGAATTGAAGAACTTAGAAAGATGTAAATAATGCTATAGATGTAACTGTCGTTATTATACATGCAGTATTTATGGTTATTTGATTGAACACATTACAAAACTTTGTCATTTATGTGCAAGACATGTAAAAATAACAGTACTCATGACTTTTTGCATATATCTATTTGTTTTCTGTGAATTGTATTACTTATATAAAATTACAGAACTAAATATTCATGGTACCGGAATACCAGAATGAAGCAGATTGAAATGGTATCAGAATGAAATAATTTATTAAAGTCAGTGATGTCCTGCATATCAAAGAAAGCAAGCATTATACGAATAAATAGGATCATTGAACGACGGAACCCGAAATGGAACCACATTAAAATTCATTTGATATATTAGAAGCTATGACGCAATGAAATAAGCAGGTTCCGATGAAGGCACAAAAACTGTCGGCGAATAAAAACCTCATGTTTGGCAACCGCTAACTTCAGACAAGGATTTGATCAGCTGTACAAGATTAAAGTGTTGATATGTGGTATTTATTCAGTGTTAATTGTAAATTGAATAAATACATAGAGACAACTGGGATATACAAGATGATAAAGTTATTCGGTGATAAAATTAAGTTTTGTGTCTTTTAATAAGGCATCAAGGCCGATAAAAATGCCGAAAAAACTAATGATAAAGCCTTAGAGAAAATGAAATAAAAACTGCTGTATCCGATGTGACACAAACAAGGAAAAATCACAAATTATTATGTAAACCATCCACATGCCATCCATCCATTGCCATTTTAACTTGGACGTAGTTAAGTTGTTAAGTAGCAAAGTCTGCACATTAGTATGACAATTCATCTTAAGCTGACTTTTAGGAATAATTCTCATAAAACAGCCTAAACCAAGGTGACCTGAAACTTGAATTCAATATGGTAGAAGCAAAACAAAAACTTTTTGACTTTCATTAGATTTACTTCGAGTTCTTACTTTAAGAAGTTGATACGTTATGGTACTCTATGGAACGGATTATAAATGAATTGTTCATTTGATTCGTTAATAATTCAGATTCTGTTTGCTATGTGCTAATATTACAAAACATGTCTTCAGCTAATTAATCTTTACTATACGGGACGACAAAGTATTCAAACGGTAGATGATGACGTTTTATGGTTACTTGTTCTATCACTTATAGCTAGCTCATTGTGTACACACAGTACTGCGAGTTTCCTCACAACGTGTAAACTTAAGTGAATGAAGACATAAAAATGACAAAATATGTAATGTCTTAAATGAAATGAAAATTAATGGTGTACAAACAGCTGCAAATGTTCTCAGGGTACAAACCATTTACTTACATGGTATGTTCTCAAGGAAACGTCACCATAATTAAACATTTAAGTAACAATTTATTTTGGAGCCTGTTGGTGGAGAAATACTGCCACATAATAATTTAACATTCTTTTGGTTTAGAACAAAATATTAAGGCTAAAGAAACACTAAAATGTTGCATGTCATTGAAATATTTAAAATGCTCCGGAGACTGCCATGAGCCTCGTTTGAAAGAGAATCAAGTCTATTGTTGAAATTTAAGAACTTGGACGAGTATAATGGACTGATGTGAACGAACCAGTCGAGTATTAACCTTGACAGATGAACCGAAGATTTGTAATTCACTGTCCCAAATTTGATTTTAATATATTCAATCATATGATGAGAATAGACAGGGATATTGGTTGGAGTTAATGGCCTGGAGCAGACGTTTAAGTAAATTCGGAGAACCTGAATATGAAATCAAAAATTATGCAAAAATCAAAGACAGCAAACATGTCTCTTTAGAATCTGTTCAAAAAAAACCGATTGAAGTGAAACTAATATTGGATCAAACTTACGAGCTCTTTGAAATACAAACAATAAAAAATATAAATAACTTTTGGTTATGATCTGTTCTAAAACTAAAAACTATGATGAATAACATGCAATAAAACTATTTCATCAACATTTTTAACGAAACAGGCCAAATGTCAATTCTGTCCAATTATTTTTGCTATTTTTGTTATTCATTAGTGCACAATACAGCAGTATTTTTTTAATTACTCGTGTGCACAATGACAAATTTGACATTGTAGTATCATGTTGGTGCGTTATCGTGAGACTTTGAGGATATTTCACATTTGAGAACGTTTGTTAGGAAAGCCATTTCGGCAACATTAATGAGAAAGAATGGAATCGCGCAAACATGTGGAGAAGTATCTATGTTTTTGTTGAAGGGAGGGCAATAACACTGACCAGCTGAAAAAAACTGGGTTAAAAATATTGGATAATGGAAGTCATTGTGTAGTGTAAGTCATAATGGATTATATAAGTCATTGATAAATCATGTCAGTCATATTTTCGAACTTCATGCGACCTAAGATAAATGTGAATACAAAATTTGCGCTACAAATTGCTTGACTCCAAATCAAGCAATATGCAGTAAGTAAAGAATCTATTCAAAACAGTCCAGTACTTCTAAAAATAGTATAGCTAAACGAAATAGACACATAATTTGAAATTAATAAGGTGTTGAGTAATTTTATTGCTGCAAATTATACGTTTGAGAAGTATTCAATAGGATTTTTTGTTTCATAATGACGGAGGCAGTTCTTAAATTATACTCGATTATGTGCTAGAATTGCCATTTATTAGAATTAAATGTTCTTAAGGCAAAATAAGAAACGTAGGTACTCTGTTCTAGCGTGCATATTGTAATATCAGTATTAAAATTGTAATGCAGACTTCATGCATAGTTTTTTTTTTCATTTTGGGACAGTTATTTCGAAGGAATAGTTTTATTAGGATTATTTAAGTCATTGACTGCCAAAAGATTGCTGTTGAAGGTAAATCCGCCGCCAGCGTGGCCCACATGTTGTCCCCCGTGGCGGTTAACGGGTGAAGTAGATACCAAATTACTTCTTATTTATTTTTCAGTGTGAAAATGACAAAGCTATCGGATGTTTTAGTCGTAGTACTTAAAGTATATAAATGAGTCACTTATAAACAATAGTAAATTGTACACTTTGACCCGAACATGATAACATTATTTGTACATTTCGTTTTATAGAGTACTATCAATTCATATTGGCACTACTTATACCCTTTACATGCATATTATGACTGAATATACCCACTTGGTTATACTTTTTTGATTAGAAGCTCCATAATTTTTTTTTTACCTAAGACTGGGTTGCGGTTGCGAAATATTGTACCGGCGGTTGTTAGTCAGTAAAACTCTGATACTACCTCTCGCCCACCTAGGGCGAGAGAAGTCATTAGAAGACTTTTCCCTTAACGGGTCTGCGGACGGCGAGTAACGATAGCTCGCCGCCCGACCAGAACCAGACCAGAGCGTAGGCCTCAAAGAGCCAATAGACCACCACAGACGGGGCCCTACGGGACTGATGTTCAGCCGGGGTTGCGGGTTAAGCGCAATGAGTCACCGCGGTCTCGGTCCAGAGCAGGAGAGGAAGGGGGGGGGGGGGGGGGTTAGTCAGTAAGAATCTGACACAGTCTCTCGCCATACCCTGGGCGGGAGAAATCACAAAAAACACTCTTACAGTCCACTGTACTTAATACGAAGTTTTTTTATCAACTCTAAATTTAGACCACAACTGCAGCAACATGACGCAATTTGTGAATCAATCTTAGTCTTGTCAAGATAACTATACATTGAGTAAGTAACTAAGTACCTACTTAATAGACTAATAAAAAAAATCGATAAATGTTATGTGAGAACCATAAAATATGTGCCCTAAAATTTCTTAGCGCTTACTGATTTTGATATTAGTTGTTCCTTATATACTATAAAAATAAAACATAGGTGGTATTTTTGGCCATCAATTAGTGTGGTGGTTAACCGATGACGTAAACAACAACGCTTTTCAATAAGCAAACAATTTAGGATTTAATATCTTCAAGCCTAGGTAAAAAGGAAAACTTGACTTGAGTCAATGATTTAAAGAATTATAATAGTATTACTGGTACCGGTAATTGACACTGGCCAATTATATATCAAACCAAACGGCGGCGGATATCGAAAGAAAAATTTTGGTAAGAACCGAAAAAATCTAAACATCAGGTGATATCGTTGGACCAATCAAAATTCATTATTACACAAATTCAAATATTGATATCCAATAGCGAAGCACCATGACGCAGTGTAATTACAACGGAACATAAATGTTTTGGTCGTGTGTACATAGGTACTAAATTAGAGAATTTTTTTTTTATTTCGAACATATATTTATGCTTACATAGGCCAGTTATTGTATTCCGTGACGTATGTCATAATAAGCGTATTTGTTATATTCATAAAAAAATATAAAATATTACGCGCAGGCAGTTTATGCATTTTATAATTTATTTGTTTAATACCTACCTATCTACATTTATAAATTTAAAAATCGAATGTTTATTTTTATAATCATAAATTAATATGGCTGTCTTCCGTGAACTTGTACAGTTCAAACAATATTATGAACCATTAAGGAACACGAAGAAAATATACGAAATCTTTTGGTGAATTAGTTTTTTTTGTGTTAAAGTGCTCCTGTTTAACGACTAGAACTGTACTAACATCAGCAGTGCAAATATATTTTTTTAGAAATCTCTTTTACATTTATTGTAATATTTAATATGACGTTATATTTTATTATCATTATTATGTTTTTCTAAGCTGAATATGTATAGAGATAAAGACATAAAATTAGTAATTCACTTAAGATGTAGAGCGTGCGTAAAATTAGCGAATGTTACCTACTGTAATCTTGGAATAGAGAGCTTAGAACATTAAAAGAATATTAATCATTTTGTCAACTGATTGTGGTTCTGGGATTGACACTTTGTAATTATAGTTCCTATCACATAGTAACATGGTTGAATTTAGCATAATTGGAATGTTAATTTTTTTATATAATACCTATAGAATTTACATACGCTTATAGCTTCAATTCCGGTTAATAAATAATATAGAACACCTTGAAACAAAACAACGAACAAACTCGTAAGGAAATCCTTTCATAACAATTTCAAGTTCGTGGCAAATTATAACTAATTATAAGTACATTTTTTTTCTAAGTAAATTATCGTTATATCGTTAATTTTCTTAGGAAATGACTTTTATTTACGGAAATCTAAGTAGTTAAATACTTCTATCAACCACACTACCTCGAAAGCCCACGTCGAATTCATAGCAATGGTGACTAAAATAGATTGTTATGTGTAAGTGTTCTTAACATCAACGTCATAAGATCCAAATTAGTTTTGTTTTAGAGCACACATGTATGTAAAACATAAACATTGAGATCCTTAAAAAAAACAGTACCTAATACAAAATCTTATTCACAAATCTCGAATAAATACAGCATCTATTTAATTACCATATACTTCTATTGCCGTGTCGTGTCGTTTAGAAGTTTGGCAGGCAAAAAAGTAGTATGCGTTTTCAACCGCAAAATTCGTTGTCATCGGCGGTATTTCTGAATTGATACGACATTCAAAACTTAAAGAGAGTTTATCCTAGCACAAAGGCAGCAACGCACTTGTGATACTTGTTGTGGGTGTCTATAGCGACGCTAATCGCTTACCATCAGGAGATCCAAATGCACATTTGTCTTCTGCAGCATAAAAATAAATAATTTTTAACAAAAATATTCGACTTCAAAAAGTTAACTAAAAAAAGCAAAAAATTAATTTTCTTTGTAGAAATTAATAAATGTTTTCATATAGTTAAATAGAAAATAATATTAATAGCCATTTTATAATCTTGAATTCGGTGCCAAGTAAAACAAAAATAGTGTAAAGATTACCTATAACACACTACAAGAATACCTATTGTTAGTTTGATGATTAGGAGGTACCGATCAATATATTTTTCTAATACTGTTGTTGTTTTGGTATCGAACAACTTCCTCCTTTTTTTGAAGTCGGTAAAAACTAGAACACGATTTGGCTATCAGTAACTATAAACGCCTCTCTGTTCCTTACTTAAAACGCTTAAGTGAATCGAGTTAACTCATTATAGTACAAACAAGTATTTGATAATAAACTCCTTGTCTTAATATTTACAATACAAAATCTTATGACATCAAAATACGATAGGCACTAGTGAAGACTTTTATGATCACAAGGTTATATTCATACATTTCGATTCAACGGAACTGGTTCTTGGTATAATCTAACGTAACATTTCTGGTTAAAATAAAATGACCATGAAATGCGCTAGTTTTGAGAATAGAATTTTATGTATGTTTCCGGCTTGGGGTCTTCTGGTTGACTAACTCATGTGTACTGAAAGACACACGTTTTTTTCCAAGAACCTCCTACTAACTAAATTAATTTGATTCAAATTTAAAACCGCATTCTAATCATTTATTTCAATTAGCATCACCATTACAGACACTTTTGAACATCAAACAAAGATTAAAGATAAAAATGTGAGATAGTCAGTTTGCTCGTTCCAAAGTGTAGACTCCGATGGAGAAGAACGAGCCAAAAACTCGATGTTTACTTATTGTCGATCAGTTTCACAATTAGATTCTAGGTGATTTATACAATACCAAAAAGTACTTTCCTAAAATTTCGTTTTCCTAACTACTGCATGTACCTTCATAGCAACGTTTGATGACTGAACTATTAAAAACATACCTTAATTCGTTTACATAGAGTTAAAATATATTCAGCAATGATAAAATTAAGCGACATCTTATGTCCATCACTTCGCTTATCCAATACCTACTTAACGGTGATTTTATTTTTCTAAATATATAGGCCAAAGATACAAAATGGAAACATTCAAAAACACACAGAATATTCCACTCACGATACGAATTTTATCTAAGTCTGTACTCTTTTCCGCCTCTGTTTGTTTATATTCCATTATCAATCTCAATTACCGAATCTTTTAATTTAGGGAATCTTAACTTGTTTCGAATTGTTATTTATGTATTTATCGGAAAGGTCCGATTCTAAATTAATGATTTTGAGTTTAGAACAATAAGCGTAGATACTCGTACCAAATTGCCTGCATCATACCTGCATCCACTTTGAAAACCATTTAAGTAAACAAACAAGATGTGGTAAAAACGATACAGAGATCAAAGCTATAAGAAAAAATATAAGCGGTCGGATGATTTCAACCAGTATTTAAGAAGCACAAATAAACTTATACCGCTTATAAATCATAGATAAAATTATCATGATTGTTTCCGAAGGTGTAATTGAAGAAGGATTTAAAATAGAGCCAGCGTATTGATTAATACTATTGAGCATGAACCAAACTCTTTTCATATTGAGAAGGATTGCCCTCTTCTAAGGAAAAGAGGCCTTTTGCATTAGAACTAAAGAAGTAAGTACTTATTGGTTGATGATGTGATTCATCGATATAAATCTTTGTTCGGTCATCCTGTACACGTCATGGGGGGTCAGAGGGGTAAAATTGTATAGGAATTATTTTCACTAATACAAGTAGGAGCATCTTTCTTTTTTCTTTCTTTCTTTTTTTTAAAAACTTTTCCCCGCATTAGGATTGTCTCCTGTGTCGTGGGTGCGGTTCCAAACATACAATTTCACATACACATATGACACCCAGACCCGGAACAACAATTTGTGCATCACACAAACAGTTGTTCCGTGCGGGAATCGAACCCGCGACACGTTGCACGGCAGCCAGGTGCCCAGCCACCGCACCAAACGTGCATCATAAGTAACATATTACTTAGTAAGTACTTGGGTACCTTCCCTTTTTTAGCACACGTGTTTACTAATTAACTTTGTTATTGGTATTATCTATAAATAGTTGTTACTACAAAGTGAGAGGTTAAAGATACTTTGGTTTATTTACACAAGCTACCTCTGGTTAGCTATTAATACCAAAAATCTGTGGTGTCGTGTTGATATAACCAATACAGCTCAGCATTAGTTATCTAGTAGATTAACGCTCAATATTAGTTAACTAATGTTAAAGAAAGTATTAAAAAAATATTGTTCGTGTAAGGTTACTAAACATAGAAGTAATGAGCCGATCTGGCACGAATGGGCTGGCTCGACAGGAGTGATACTGCAACCATACAGAAAAACTAAGTAAATAAAGATTGCGCTGTTTTTCCCTATGAGAGCAAGGTAAGTAAAGGACCAATCCCTTCCCCCTTCCATATCTAGTCTAGAAAACTGTAAACCCAAAAAATCCGATTGCTTACCATCAAGCTATCTACGTGCTGGTTAGCAGAGATATGCTTTTAAAACTTTAATCATGTATACATCAACCATAGATATAAGAAAAGAGGAGATGTGTTAAGTAGTGAAAAATGTACGGGGACCCGATGTCTGCAGTTATCCCTACCAACACCGACACCACTACACATACTGCAATAGTTACACAGTCGCGCACACACCCGCAAAACATAAATCAGACTATACTGCACAGTCAATTATAAACCTTATTTTCTCTGAACACAGCGTGTATTTTCCATGCAGTATAACTTACGCACACATAAAAACACTGATGTGCTGTGCAAAAGCAATTTATTTTACATTTACGCTAGTGATTGACTAAATGGAAAAGTTATCGATTTTTCCATTTTTTATTGTATTATTTTTTTTGGATTTCAATAACAAATTAAATAAAAATCAAAGTGTCCAGAAAATTATATATTAATAAAAAAACAATAAAAATTGTATTCATTATATTCAGAAATTACAAATTTTTGATCAATCAATGTACTACTGTTGATTGCCTGTTATTGTATTTACTCACAGACCTGTGAAAAGAAGATTTTTAGAGGCTGAAACATTTCTGGTTCAAAGTGACTTGAGCATACGGTACTATTTTTTGTAGGGAACCAATTAGGTGAGGTGGCCTTCGAGTGGCATCTTTCGGGAAACTGAAAGCATAAAATAACACTTTATTTATCAGTTTTACCTAAGCTACTGCTAAAGTTTACCATGTAAAAAAAAATTAGAAAAAAACCTAGTACAAAGCTTGTTTCAAGACTTAAGATATTATACTTTTTGTAATCTACCTTTTTATAACAAAGAAACATTTTATTTATTATTATTATTTATTGTTAAATACCTATATGAAATACAACACACACCCATGCATAAGAAATAAAGAGCTAGAAAATGTTATGAACCTTATTTTAAGCATAAGTTGTTAATATATTCTGTATCATGCGTATTATTATAGCGCATTCGAAGCTTTAGAAGACTTAAAGAACGCAGATAAAATGTCAAAATCAGAAAAAGTCAGGAAATAACACCAAGATAACGCATAACATAATGAGACATCCGAAACCTAAAAATAGTTCACCAACTATTAACTTACAATTTAACCAACTTACTTTACGACAGTTGCTAACGTATTTTTCTACTACTCTGTAAAATAAAAATAAATATATTATTTCACTTCGGATATCCAAACAATCGATATTGTGATCGATACATTAGTAGATCTATACCTACACGCTACATCACTATCTCGTCGCATCTAACAGCGGCCGCATTATAAAACATATCGCAATAATAAAGTATCGTTATGTTATATTTACATTGCTTGTCCATTTTCTGAGCATCAAAATTAGGTTGTGCTTAAACAGCAATGTACTTAGTGTAAGAGTAATAAAGTTGTTTCGATATTTGAAAACAAAAATAACGTAGTAACAGCAACGGATTTTATAAGATTTGTTGTTTTTCCTGATTTTAAAGATAAATATAGTATTAAACTTGTACTTACATATGGTAAGAGATTCCGTGATGACCCAGGCTTATTTTTTCGCTTCGGTTCTTGCACGAAACCACTGCACTGCATTGCATTTTAAATTTATTTACGAGCACGTTCGCGATCTTGCGAGTTTGCTAAATGATCGGCCATTTGACGGTACAAGAGCATTTCGCGCAAGTGCCGCGGACACGGACACGCCCCCTTGCCACTTCTCCTGTTTTTTATATTTCTGTGACATCAACGCTCTAATCACCGTGTTTGCACTGCTGAAAAGCGGGACATGTAAGATTCAAAAGCACAGAAAAAGTTGATGCCCTAAATGTTCTTTCTCCGGTCATAACAAGCCCATACTTATAAACGGAGTTGCAGACTGTTCTGTTAAAAAAAATTGCTGAATATAGATACCTATATCAACTCAATCGATTACCTATAAGGAGACGGTTAAATAGTCATACTTTTGGGTCGAATTACAAAGTTGATTAGCCATCTCTTGCGCAATAGTCGACAACATAATAGGCTAGCTAACTCATCAATTTGTTGCTGTCCAAGCATATTTTTATCGTGCCACAAAATGTATGAACTCTAACCCAGTTTTTATTATGTTGATGAATGAAATTATTTGGTAACATGTAAAAATAACTTGTCCTATAATAAGTAATAAGTACTTTTAGTGCATGTAATGGTATGATGTAATAGTTTTAGGCATTCTTAATTTGCGATTTATTTCATTTAAAAATAGGACTTTTATGTACTTTGACCGTTTAATTATGATGAATAAAGATATTTTAAAAAAATTGAGTAACATTATGTCACATTATAACACAAATTCTATTCCTATGATAGGCATTTTTTTCATTTTTTAGAGGAACGATAATAACATATGTTACATAATTTCAATTCATCCAATGGCTTACGTCATGGCGTAAGGTGACAAAAACCACCCTGCTCCTTTTCCTGCTCCAGTCCAAGGTTGCGGTACCTTATACACTTGACCCACATCTCTGGCCTGATGAAACAGAGGCTAAGGCCTCGTTTACGTTTAAGCAGCGCGTTGTGCGATGTGCGGTTCGTCATACATTGCACGTGATGTTCATATGTTTGCGTTTGTACGGCCGTTGACATGATTTGATGCTGTAATGTACGACAAACGAAATACGCCCCGAGTGTACGTAAAAGAGACCTAAGTCTTCGTTTTCCCCCTTAGTAAATAGGTAGGCGTGGCGTTATATTAGTAAGAATGACGAATAAAAATACGTAGAAAACCGGTTATTTATACATTTATAGCAAATAGTAGTACGATTACTAATGAAGTCAATGTTATCTGATATACAAAACTACATTCAGGTGGCTTACCGATAGCGGGAGTGGATAACAGTCAAATACCTATGATTCAACTCTTTAAAATATCAAGATAAATAATAAAATGTGTCATTCATAAGATAAGACGAAAACCTTACGAAACGTGTGTGAAGGCTATGGGCAAAACCTGACAGTTCAACTGACGTAATAACTGTCTACATATTAGTAGATACGTATTGAACTAGGCAAAAAGTACGTATGCATGTATAAGAATAAATATGTATGTATTATTTGAGTTCAAATGACGCCAATGTTCTGATGATTGGACGACCATACCGGTTTGGTTAACTAGTAAACGGTTAGGTTTATAGGAATCTGGTTTCTAGTACCTACTACTTAGAAGGAGAAGTAAGCTAGGGTGCTATGACACAATTAGCTGATATCTGTGCTAGTAGGTAAAGATGCAGATCTATCTAGTATACAATCTTTTAGGATTTTAGGGCAATTTTGCAATATCTGTTTAACTATGTTCAAGATAAATTTTGAATAAATAATGTAATTTCTATGAACTATGTCATATTAGTTATGGCCCTTGCATTATTATCGGCGGGAGAATTAATTTTATGTTTTTCCCCTCACAAAAAACAAAAAAAGAAACAGTCACGGATTTGTTGCTTTCATGCTATAATTCCAAATTGGAGGTGAGATCCTACATTTATTCTGAGTTTTTTTTTAAAATAACAACAACAACAACAACATGGCTCATTGCTGTTGCTTAGCTAACTATCCCATAAGCACTAAAACTACTATATCAGACAGACACACACACTAGGTTACAGATCGTCTAGTATGAAATAGACACTCCTAGTTTGTTGGCTAAAATGCCCTGAACACAAAATTATACATCCAATCCAAGTGACGCAAGTCAGTACACACAATAATTATGTATCATTAAACAAATTCAAATAACATACGAGTCTATGCTACAAGCGTAAACAACCGGTACAGAGGATTGATTAATTAAAACTATTCGCAATAAATGGACAAAAAAGGAGCTGTATAGAGGTTTGAAATAATGATCCTAACTAGTTCGTTGTTTTGCCAATACACTACTCATGTAACTGGTTCTTGGTTTGTGTTTAGCACACTTAAGCTTAGATAAAATGGACACTATATGTATATTTTCAATGTAAATGTCTACATAGTTACTCTGTCATAAATCCGACACAGGCTCCATTAAGACGCTAAGAGCCTCGGCCTAGAGCAGGAAAAGGAACGGCATTATGAGTCTGACACTCGCTCTCGCCTCAGCCTGGACGAAAGAAGACGTTTGATGATTTTTTTCTCACAAAAAAGTTCGCATACAATTTAGGGACTATGTTTACATTACTTGTGACCAATCATAGTGAATACTAAACAAAAATATAGTGTATTGTATAATTCGTGGACAGTAAGCACACGTGGAGCCCATTTCTGAGGTCACCGACATCCGTTTCGCACGCACGTCAATCAGCAAGCTAGCTAGATTACGTTTCTCACAAACCGCAAGCTATGAACGTTTTTTTTTTGACTGCCAATAAAGATACTATAAGCCTAATGAAATAAAAAACTTAGAAAAGTAGGTTTAGAATGAGCCTACACCATGTTTGGAAACAGTGGTACATAATTATACTTTATTCACATATTAAACGCCATATCAGACAATGCATTAAGCATCAATGGATTTGCTTTCACACAGTTTTTGTTGGCAGTCGAAGGAGGCAGCTTTATTTTGTGAGGGGAAAATTATTAAATGATTTTTCCCGCCCAGGGTCGGGCAAGAGGAAGTGTAAGACTCTTACTGACTAAAAACCCCCCGTTCCTTCTTCTGTTCTGGGCCGAGGTCGCGGTGTCTCATAAAGGAGGCCACATTAGTTCTATCTTCTTTAGAACTGGGCCCTATTTCTTTCTATCAAACAGTTGAAGCTTTAGTCGAAAACATTCCTCCAATCTTGCTTGTTCAGAATGACGCAGTCGGACGCAATCATACGATTTGATCACGCGATCCACTGCCAAGTGACATAGGACGACACAGTTTTAACAACTGCTATATTGTGATTGATCTGTCTGATGTCCAGCCTTAATTACTATACTAGCGAAATGGACAAGCGAAGTAGTTCAGTATCACTCAACATTACTACTATTATTTCATCTAAGCATCATTTGCTAGCTACAAAACGAATGACGTGGCTTGGTTACGTCTCAAATATAACTAATTATTAATTGATGAGAAATATAAACATCAGCATAGTTTAAAATTACGAGGATCGCATGTCAACCATAAAGCTTATCCAGCCCATTGAAATTCCGGCATCATTTGTCAGCCATAAGTATCCAGCCAGACTTTCAAGGGTGCAAGCGTAAAATGTACTGTGAACACACGCTCTGACTTGGAGCAGTTTTTAGTCAGTAAGAGTCTGACACTCCCTCTCGCCCCACTCGGGGCGGAAGGACGATTTTCTCCTCCAAAAATAAAACTTTATTGGCTTATGGCAAAAACCTTCACAAAAGAAGGCCAAAAAAACAGAGCAATCTTACCTCACAAATACAAATATGTAATGACGCGAGCATTAAGTTGCCAAGCCAAGTAAGATAGTATGTTAACGTAGAATCATCACTACATACCTAGTATAAAACGAAGTCGCTTTCTCTGTCCCTATATACTCATGTATGCCTAAATCTTTACAACTACGCAACGTATTTTGATGCGGTTTTTTTAAAGATAGAGTGTTTGAAGGGGAATTTTTATATGTACAATAATACTTATACATTCAATAGTGGACAAAAAGTAAGTATTAGTATTGCATCCGCTAACGTAATGACAGCTATTTTTGCCTCTTATTTCTATCTCTATGTAGGACTGGTACACAATATGACAATAGGTTAGGAAATTATAGGAATATTGTAACGTCCATCTAAATCAATTTAGTTAATGTATTGTTCGTTGATTCATAATAGTCGTACGTTTTCAATTTCAATTGATTCTAATTTAGTTAGTGACGCATAATGAGTATTTTGTCAATAGGTTACTCAACAAATGGATGGGGCACGGTCAATTTATGTTATGTCTGTGAATTTGCAATTTAGTTTTATAGGAATGTACTTTTCCTTGGTACTTTAAAATATATGTCTATGTTTGTCAATCAAAAATTATCGAATTCATTCACCAAACCTCAAGCGAACACCGGCGTTCCCGCACTTATTTTTCTTCTATTGTGTCTCGAATTACGATTAAAAGGTCAAATAAAATCGTTTTAATTTATTATTTGACTGTTTATTGTCTACCTTAAAACAATACGTCGATGTAGGAAATACCTGGAAGAAATTTAACCAATAATATTTGAAATATAAATAACTTGATTCGAAGAATCTTTCTTGGGCAAAGTTATCAATTTTGAACAAAAGTATCTTATGAAAGTGTCACATATACACAAAGCTACTCAGGTGTCTTTGATACGGTGTATGTGCTATTCGTTGAATCCATTTAAGTACAACATAGCGACTACAATTTATATCAGTAATTATATTATCTGTAGATAATTTTAATTAGTCTATCAGACAAGCCTCTGCATAGCAAGACTAATTATTATACTAAGGATTACCTAAATCATGTTAACATCCTTATACACGTTTGAAAAATAAATTATTTAATTATATTGTTTAACTAACTACTCTCGCGCGGTTTCACTCGCTGCTCGCGGCTCCATTTGATTGTAGCGTGATGTTTTATAGCCTTCATTTTATAGCATTCAGGAACTTTGTAGCTATCTATAAGTAATAGAATTTTGGCAATCCGACCAGGGGTTCCAAAGATTACCCCCTACATACAAACTTACAAATTTTACTTCTTTATAATATTAGTATAGAAAGTATAGATGATAGAATTTTTGATTCGTGACTACCGTGAGACATACATTAAAAAAATATTGAAAATAAACAAAACCTCTACTAGTTTCAAGACACAACAGGACTCTTATTCATGAGCGCTTTTTTACTACTCCTCAGTCAAGTAACGTGTCGTTCCTTTCAGTACAAGATTAATTAAAAAGACTAAGTAGGTACAATATTATAGCTTCAGGAGAATTTTTCGAACTAATACGAATTACGAGTAATATACCTACATTGATGCCCAGTATTTAAAAATATATATTATGACTAGACTCTTTGAAATATAACAAGACGCAGGCGATTACGTTGCTTGAGGTACAAAGATCAAATGTTCAAATCTCAAATATATTTTTGTTAAATATTAAACTCAAACCAATCAAAGTGCATATCCGGGTACATTCGGCTAGTTGCTATCAGTACAGATTTAGATAAGTGTATTAACTATATCATCATAATATTATAATTATCTAAATGTTTCAAATCGTCATTAAGTTGCATATACTTACGAATGCATACCGTTCTGTGTAATTTTCTTTTTATTAAATTGATTTGTATGTGATCCTTCACTTTGGATTATCTGAAGTAATTTTGTCTCATAGTATATGCACATTGAAGCTTGTATTTGAGTTCTCTCAGAAAATATAAAACTATATTTATTTAAAAAAGTGTGAGTTATTCTTTAATTCATTTGTGCTGTAGGCTAGAGAGTCGATGATTGTTTTTTTTTCTTTACGTTGCCCTAGAATTTCCTCCCCTGGCAGCCCGTTGCCCAGCGTCCGCGATAACCGTGCAGTGAAATTTAAATTAATCTGGTCGATAGTCATCCCAGTCTTCTTCAGACGATTTTCCACCCTCAAAAAAACTCAGAATGCTATTAGATGCATAGGTGTACGACACTACACCAGCAGTTTCATTCATTGACCGATTTAAAAACCGAAGCCTGTTTGACAAATCTGCGGAAATGAATCGCGCAAAAATAAAGAGCGGTCATTTTGGAAGCGACACAATTATCGAAGAGTTAATACAGAAAGAAAGGATTTTATCAATTAGGTTCTATACGAACAAAATTCCTTCTTCAAAAGCTTCCTTCTCTCGATTAAGGAATATAGTGGACTTAATGCGTACACCGCAAATGTTTTGTGGTTGAAACTTAAAAATAACAGAGAGAAATATTGTATTGTCAAGCCTAGCGGTCCAATATCAAAGGTCTATAACGTATGAATCAAGAATTAAGGCCAATAACCGTGTTGCTGTGCCTCTATTGTAATTAATGTTTTGCAACTGCACTTCTATTCGTGTTAATTACCGATGTATTTTCATAAACTTTATATACAGAATTATTTTAATGGCTGCACAAATAATATAGTCGCTAAAATGCTCTTTGTTATTACCTAAACAATACTTTAGTTAGTCTCTAGTTGGTTTTAATTTGGTTGACGTGGGTTTTAACGATTACCTACCTACGTATTAACTGAAAACTATTACCGTCTCAATGCCACACTATAATTTTGCACGGACCACAGGACACGAAAATTTTAGGATGCCACAAAAACGTACAACATCATTGTTAATAAACTGTTGATGGTTTAGTTAAAATAACTTCCTAAATTCATTTGAATTCATTTCAAAAGTTATCTTATTAAGTCATTTACAACTTCCCACTTCCTATCTACATTCGAATAGTATATTGTAATTATTTTCGAAACGCATTATTTTATCTGTGAGCTTTGTAAATATAGCTGTGGTTTTACGTACTAACTAGCATCTGTCTTAACTGATAAAACTTATTTTTCAATAGTATTACAATTTCACTATCGTACCCACAATCATTACGGTACTAACCATGAAATACCTATTTTAGACTGTGGCGACCTCTAGGCACGGCAAATTTTTACTGACACAATTTTACAACAAAATTTAAACCCCAGTTCTTTAACGATTCGTTTTATTTAATTTACGTTCCGAGTTCTTTGATTAGCAATTCAAAAAATATTTATGTCTATTAGACACGGGCTTAGATCAGCATAATAGAAAATGATTATGGAACGTTGGCCCGTCTACGAGCTACAAAGGCGTGAACCCTAAAAGGTTAATGACATGGCAACTATGGTAGATAAACATCGATGTTGGCGGTATTAATATTGCATTCGAATAAAGTACGTAGGTATCTATGCGTGATTTTCATACATGGCATAACTAAACTAATAAGTTTGACTTTATCATGATACAATTTAGTAGTCTTGCTGTGTCTTAAGACAACTTAAGAAGCACCAATTAGAGCTTTAAGAAGTACCTCACACACCCTAGTATACATATAACTCCATAAAGGTCCTGAATTCCATTCAGAAAGCTACTTATTATGAAAAATATGACTTACCAACTAATGTGTATTTGATAAGGCAAGGATGGCACAAGTTCGTTATGGGCTGCCAATGTTCGTTGTTCACGACATCAGCCATCTCCTCAGACCGGTTTGTGAGGAACAGCGCGAACTCCTTGAAGGTGACGTCACGGCCATACTCCAGAGACTCATTTGATGGGTTCTCGCGGTAGGCCTTTATGATGCGTCGTCCTATGCGGTCCTGTGGAAGAATTCATTTAAATGTAGTAATGCTCTATGGATTTTATTAAATATATTTTTTAATATTACAGACATACGCTGTCATACACCCATGACTTCGATCATCGATCAACTTATCAGATCATTATCCAATACATTTTAATAGGTAAATGATGGGTTGAAAATATTTTATATGCAAACCATTCTAAAAAAACCGACGACCAAAATATCCATCAATTGAGTCATCCACCGGCCGGTACGCAACAAATGACCATATAGTATAGGTGGTCTAGATATAGACATTACAAATATTTGATCCTGTCAAGTAAGTTCATGGATACTTTATAGCTACCATTATCAATGACCAGAGCCAAAAGTCAACTGACTGTAATGACGACCAAATTATTATCAATTTGTACAAAAACAACCGCAAGGCCGCGAGGAATATTTCTTTGAATACATAAACATACATGTGACATATAGGTTAATAGGTAGGTAAGTAACTTTTATTCTTCGAAACGGTAGCAACTTGTAAAACGCCCACTTTTTGGCTGTAATTTCAAGAATCTGATATAGGTACTAGAGGGTAAGCCAGCCTACTGCTATTAATTCGGCATAAACCCTCGCTTGGACTCATATGTTATAGAGTGCTTTTTTGTGAGGGGAAAATCATCAAATGACTTCTCCCGCCTATGGATGGGCGGGAGGGAGTGTCAGACTCTCACTGACTAAAAACCCCCATGTTCCTTCTCCTGCTCTAGGCCGAGGTCGCGGTGCCTCATTGCGCTTACCCCGCAACCCCGGCTGAATGTTATAGAGTGCTGATGTTGTCAAAACAAAAGATAAACATTGATATGTCTATGAAAGCCTAAAAACGAGAGAACCGAAGCTAAAAAGTGGTCAACTATCTTAGTAAGGATTTATGTGGAAAAGGGGTTAAAATCATGTGACAAAACGAGTACTTACTGAAAAGGAAAGATAGAGGATAACCAAAGAAAGGATGGTTTATAATCGAAAAATTATTTTAAAGAATCGACGCGACGTATCAAAATAGAAAGAATGAACTAGCGTATCGAAGTCTGGCAATGCCGAGCAAAGAAAACTAATAAAAACAATAGGAAAGCTTTAAAAATAACTAAGTAAGTACAAAAGAAAATAATCATGTTAAAAATAACTTCAAGCGGACGTCCCTATCAGTCAGTTCACGTTGCACATTTTTGTTTTAAATGCGATGTAACATAAGTTTAATTATTTACCTATCTATAATTCAATGAAAAGTTGACCTCTGGCTTAGAACTTTCAAGTTAACAATAAAGTATCAACCATTAGTAAAAAGTTTAGGTGCTTATCATAAAGAAATAAATTATAAGTATTTGTTTAATCTCCTAAAAAAAAGTGTTCAAATTCTTTTCTAGAATCGAATTTCAATCTGTTTATATACGCAAGCATTAAATTAAGTTTTGACATTGGATTTGTGTTATGCTTTTATTGTTACTGTCGTCCAGTACAGTTCTCAGTAATTTAATTATTATTATAATTGTGTGGGAAATTGATAAAACTTATATCCATATTAAATTCACTTAGTTAGCCTGAATTAAGGCTGGTAATTTATGAGTACCTGAGCCATTGGATGAACATCACGCTACGATCAAATGGGGTCAGGCAGAGGGTGAAAAAGCGAGAGACTAGCTTGCACAAAAATATTTTGTATTTATCTTTTCTTAATTTCGTAAACCTATTTAAAAAAACAAAACTTTACCTAAAACAATTAGGTAAAGTTTTGTTTTTGATGTATTTTATTTACCTACAAAAACAGGCTATAGAAGAAGATTCGTCGTGACGTCATCCAAATATTTCAATAGCAGGTCTGTATCAATTTGATACTACTGGTTATGGAAATTTAGTTCCTGTTCACATTACGTTGAGTTCAAAATGCAGATTGGTCGTATTTTATGATGGGGCAATGCTGTACTGCGGTCTGACTCGGCATGAGAAGGCACGGGGTGGTTTTTAGTCAGTAAATGTCTGACACTCCATTTCATCCCACTCAGGGCGGGAAACATAACTGGGGGAATGTCGTCCTCAAAGAAAAGAAGATTATGACGAATCGTATAGGTATTATTCCTAGCTAATCTAGGCGACCTAGGCCTAATTCGACTGCACGGTTGGCGCGGTGGTTGGGCAACTGGCTGCCGCGCAACGTGTCGCGGGTTCGATTCCCGCACGGAAGAACTCTTTGTGTGATCCACAGATTGTTGTTCCGGGTCTGGGTGTGATGTGCATGTGAAATTGTATGTTTGTAAAACGCAAAACGCACCCACAACACAAGAGAAAATCCTAATGTGGGGCAATGTTTTTTTTTTAATAAAAATCTCACACAGTCGTATGTTTTATAGCCTAAAACCTTCCTCGATAAATGGACTAAAGAACACAAAAAGCATTATTCAATTCGAACTATTGGTTCCGGAGATTAGCGCGTTCAAAAAAACAAACTCTTGAGCTTTATAATATATAAAAATAAAAAAGTAAGAATAGACTACGATCTGCTATGGAATTTATGTCAAAGCTCAAAGTTCTATCCTTAGGTAATTTTACTAGCCCCCGAAGGGCCTCAGCGAGGCAGGGGTTGCGTCGCGGCTCGGTTCGGAGAGATCGCCGTGGTGGGCGTGTACTTCTCTCCGAACCGAACTCTCGTCGAGTTCCACAACTCCCTCAGGGAATTAGTCACCGTCGTCGTCGGGTTCCGTCCCCTCCCCGTGCTCGTCCTCGGGGACTTCAATGCCAAGAATTTGGCTTGGGGTTCTCGGCTCACCGATGTCCGGGGAAGGATGGTCGAAGACTGGGCTCTGGAGACAGGCCTAGTCGTGCTGAACCGGGGTTCTGTCCCCACGTGCATACGGATGCGGGGCGAGTCAGTGGTGGACATTTCGTTTGCTAGCCCCGCTCTGTCATCGTGCGTTGTCGACTGGCGCGTCATGGAGGAGGTGGAGACGTTTTCGGACCACCGGTATATACGGTTCGACGTTTCCGCCGAGTCCGCAGACCCGCCAGTCCGACAGGCCCCGTGTGGCCCGCGTTGGGCGCTTAGGCAACTGGACCGGGAGCTTTTCCTGGAAGCCGCAGTCGTGCAGGCCTGCCGACGTTAACGAGGAGGCGAGATGGCTCCAGGACGCCATGTCTCGGATGTGCGACGTGGCGATGCCCCGGATCCGGGCGTGCCAACGCAAGCGCCAGGTGTATTGGTGGTCGCAGGAGCTGGCTGCTCTGCGTGGTGAGTGCACCGCAGCGCGACGCCGATACACCAGGCACCGCAGGCTCCGTATCCGCCCTCTGGACGCTGAAACCAGAGAGGCGGAGCTGTACGAGGAGTACAGGGCGGCGAAGGCCACCCTAAGGGTGGAGATCCGGCGGGCAAAAGATCGGGCCCGCGAGGAGATGTTGGAGACTCTGAACAGAGACCCGTGGGGACGCCCCTACCGCATGGTGCGTGATAAGCTCCGCACCTGGGCGCCCCCACTGGCTCAGAGTCTCCGGCCGGAGGTCGTGGACGAAGTGGTTGGGGCGCTATTCCCCCGACCACAGATAGGTTACACGCCTCCCACTATGTCTCCGCCCCCTGCGGTGCCCAATGCGGGCTACAACGACGACGACGGTGAATCCGCTCCGGAAGTGACCGAGGTAGATTTGAGGGTGGCGGTGCGCCGGCTGAGCGGCAAGAACACCGCCCCAGGACCTGACGGGCTGCATGCCAAGGTTTGGGTCCTGGCCTCGGAGGCTCTCAGGCCTCGACTAATTGGTCTTTTCAGCGCATGCTTGGGGAGGGGCCAGTTTCCGCTGTCGTGGAAGACGGGTAAACTGGTCCTCGTGAAGAAGCCGGGGCGTCCTGCGGACTCTCCGTCCGCGTACCGGCCCATTGTGCTGCTCGACGAGGTGGGAAAACTGTTCGAGAGGATTATATCAGACCGCCTCGTCGGGCACCTGTCTAGAAGGGGGCCGGATTTAGCGGACGGCCAGTTCGGCTTCCGCAGAGGGCGCTCCACGGTAGACGCCATCATGCGCGTGAGGGACCTCACGACGGGGACTGCGTTGGCCAGGGGGCGAGTCGTCGTGGCGGTGTCTCTGGACATCGCCAACGCCTTCAATTCGTTGCCCTGGAGCTGCATTCTGGGGGCACTCCGGTACCACCGGGTGCCTGCCTATCTCCGTCGTGTAGTCGAGGCTTACTTGACGGACAGATGTGTCATCTACCCCGGTCACCGGGGCGTGTGGAATCGGCGAGAGGTGTCGCGCGGTGTTCCACAGGGATCGGTCCTGGGACCTCTCCTGTGGAACATCGGGTACGATTGGGTGCTACGCACCGACCTCCCGAGCGGCGTCAACATTGTTTGTTATGCTGACGACACGCTGTTGCTGGCGAATGGGAGGTCACATCAGGCGGCGGCCGACCTGATGTCGCAAGCGGTCGCGACAGTCGTTGCAAGGATCCGGCAGTTGGGACTCGAGGTGGCGCTTCACAAATCCGAGGCCATGTGTTTTTATGGCCGTCGGAACGCGCCACCTCCAGATGGGTCCCAAATAATGGCAGGAGGAGTTACCATCGGCGTCGAGTCGGCGATGAAGTACCTGGGTCTCGTCCTCGACAGCCGATGGAACTTCACGGAGCATTTTCGTCGTTTGGCTCCTAAGTTGGAACGGTCTGGGGCCGCGCTCAAGCGGCTCCTTCCCAACCTCGGGGGGCCAAACGCCTCCTGCCGGAGGTTGTACATGGGGATTGTGCGATCCATGGCCCTCTACGGTGCCCCTGTGTGGGCGCCGGATTTGAAGCGGCGGCCGGCTCGTACGCTGGTCGCGTCCCAGAGGGTCATGGCTATCCGAATAATCCGCGGATATCGCACGATCTCCGGGGAGGCGGCGAACCTCCTTGCCGGATCACCGCCGTGGGATCTGGAAGCGAAGGCGCTCGCGCGCGTCTACAGTTTGCGCGCAGACGCGCGTCGCCGGGGCGAGGATCCTCTGCCGCGCCAAATTAGTGCGTGGCGGAATGAGCTCCGGCGAGATCTCATGGCTGAGTGGAAGCAGCGACTGTCGCAACCGAGGGCCGGGCACGCTACTATAGCAGCGATAAGACCCCTCTTTGAGGAGTGGCTTGAGAGACGCCACGGCGTCCTCACCTTCCGCCTGACGCAGGTGCTTACCGGGCACGGCAGCTTTGCTAGGTTCCTGTTTCGGATCCAGCGGGAGGAAACGCCCGAGTGTCGTCATTGTGAGGATCACCTGGAGGACACGGTGGAGCATACAGTGGCGGAGTGCCCTGCTTGGGCTGAGCACCGCCGTGTTCTCAGGGAAGTGATCGGCGGCGGCGACCTCTCGCGCCCGGCCTTAATCGAGGCCATGGTGCAGCGTGAGAGGAACTGGGAAGCTATCTCCTCCTTCTGCGAAGCAGTTATGCTCGCAAAGGAGGAGGCGGAGCGCGTGAGGGAACTATCCTCCTCGCGCCCCAGCCGCCGCAGAAGGCGACATTCCGGACGTCGGGGATCGAGAGATGATCTCCGGCCACCGTAAGCGCGGGTCTGCGGACGGCGAGTAAGGGTAGCTCGCCGCCCGACCAGAACCGGACCCGAGCGTACGGCGCGTAGCGTTCCGCGCGCGCCTCAAAGAGCCAATAGACCACCACAGTCGGGGCCCTAAAGGGCTGATGTTTAGCCGGGGCTGCGGGGTAAGCGCAATGAGGCACCGCGACCTCGGCCCAGAGCAGGAGAAGGAACGGGGGGGTTTTTAGTCAGTAAGAGTCTGACACTCTCTCTCGCCTTACCCTGGGCGGGAGAAGTCATTGGATATGATTTTCCCCTGACAAAAAAAAAAAAAAAAGGTAATTTTACTAGAAAAATCTACAAATCGTTGTAGCGGCTGGTCTTAAAGCTATTAACCGGAACCACACCTGTTCATAACTGGCTTTGTTTCTCAAACATAGATAGGATGAGCAAAAAGTTAATTCAAAACAAGTTTCGATTAGATTTAAAGGAATATATAACAAAAACAATATTACGTCAGATGGTCTAACAAGTTATAATTGGTGGAAGTTTTAATATTAATTAAATAATTTAGAAATTGGAGGTTGACATTACGTTTGACTAGATGAGACTACACTTCGCATCGTTCGAAGGAACTAAAAAAACTACCTCGTAGTTTTTTGCCAATAAAATTCTGTAACTCCCTCGATTTTTTGGAGGAAACTTCATACATCTAATGTTAAAAATTGTTATTTCAGAATTTAGTTCCGAGTCGATTAAATACTTATTTATTTCGGTCATTACAGTTTAATATCGCAAATCCATCTTATGTAAATATGTTCCTAAGTAAAACGGGCCGTATAAAAAAAATTGAAAATCCAAATTCTAGCTTCATTTCACGCAGTGCTATTATCAAAATTTTAAAAGTATCTAAAGCAAAACGACTGATCTACATGTTACTGACCTGTGAAAAAATATTACGTCGGTATGTAAATGGTGGTGTTTTGTAATTTTCCGAAATTAACTATTTCATATTTTTTTAATGATATCTAATACATTGCAATTTGCAGTTATTAAGAACCGCAAAATAATATAAATAAAAATTATCAACAACATGTTTTTATCAAAATATTGTGTGTCAGTAGACAATATAATTCATAATACTTAAGAATTATGATATCACTATATGTATAGCATGTTATAAGATAACATAATTGATAGGAATATTTATATTAATAAAAAAATTTGAAAGCAGCCACATATCTACTACACACATAAAAACAAAATTAAGTAAACGGTAGAAAGTTCTTACTAAGTTAATCTTTTGAAAACATCTTGCAGTGTAATAACATTTATGATAACCATCCTTACCCAAGTAAAACTGATTAGAGTAATTTGCAAGAGACTTATTAGAGTATTTACAAAGAAGTGCCTATTAGTATTGGCTCACCATTTCAAAGATTAATAAAAACTAATAATTATCTGAATTATAATAGTTTATCGAAATTAGATGGCTATTCCTAAATAAAAAAAAAATACTTTAGGTATGTATCTTAAAATATAATGTGGCATAAGTTAAATAATGATATATACAATATTAATATTACAAAAGTCGATATTTATAACTCACCTGAAAATATCTGGCACTTAGTGTATCACCCTCCAATTTATTTCTAAAGGCAGACAGAAGCCTTTCAAATGGATTCCGGACTATAATCATCTTGTTGTAATTCTCCAACATGTAGTCTCTTTCTGCTTTGCTCACATTACTTAAATCCCGGAACATTCCAGGGGTGTGGGCAATACTGGCTGTAATGGATAACACATCTGTTCCATTCCATTTGCCAGACAACATCATAAAGATTCTCTTCCAATTTGTACAGGCCACCTAAAAAAAGAATATTTAAATTAAAAGAGGTTTAATTTAAATTTAGAAGGTAACAGGCTGAATTTAGTGTGAATGTCATCATGTACCTTTTTCTCCCAAATTTAAATGTTTATTTTATTTTTTGATGGAAATAAAAAATGTTTTCGTTTCATTTATTATGTTATTCACTATTTAGATCTAAAAAGAAAGAAATGTGGCAGAGGTGCATAAAATACACACCTTAGTAGTCGGGTACTAAGTTAATCTTAAGTTAATTTTAAATAAAAATATTTAAGTAGTTTTATTAGGTGTAATACTAAATATTAGTTAATATAAATAAGTAGGTGAGTAGGTACCTGCCTTGTTGAAGATTAAGGTATGTACCTACAGCAAAATCAAGAACATTCTGAGATATAAATGATAAGAGCTGCTGAATAATCCAACCAAAAATATTATTTTCGAACTCCCCGGTCATGGACAGTTCATGACAATGTTATTGTTAAACATTAGGCAAGTAGGCACCTACTTAAGTTTAGTTGACGAATATTTTGTGAAGCTATAAATATCCAGTTTGCCTTGAAAAACTCACCTTTGGCACATAGCAGTACAGAAGTTTGTGTTCTTCATTTATTAAGATATGCTCCAGTTGGCTCGGTGGAAGCTCATCTAAACCGTACTTCGGGGGGAAATGTCTACACGTCTCTTGAATCAGCTCTTGTCGCGCCAAGTTCAAGGACTGGGTCAACTCCAAAGAATGTTCACTCACTTCGTTATTATACACGTCTCCGCTTACCAACAACAAGTTCAGTAACAACACTAATTCCACCTTCAAAACACCCATCTTTAGCATTTTCACATTACACACAAAAAATAAAACTTAAAAACTTTCTTTCGGTAACCTATGTTTTTAATGTAGGACACGGCGCTGTATGCATTTCTGACTTAGAAAGTTATATTACAATGAATGGCGACAGATAACTAAATTAACTTTCATTAATACAAAATAATTTTATTAACGAATTAGCTACCGAATAATGTTTTTGTATCGAAGTTATTTACGCAGATGCGCGGACAGGTAACACGTCCACTCCAACTTGCGTTGACAGCAAAACTGAATGGAAATGAATGAGAATGACGGAAGACGGTGAATGATTGAATGAAGAATTCGTACTTGAAACAAACGAATGGTTAATGGTTCAACTTGATTCACGTTTGAGATTGAGACAGGTCTACTTAGTCTACAGGCAGCTCAGATAATTCAAAATAGATTTTTATTGATTTGTTTGTGGAGCTAGTTCCATTACGTTCATAATAAAATATGAAGGTATGAACTGCATACATGGGTATTCAGACTGATATAGATACCTTACCAAAAATACCCTCTTATTTTTATCGAGTACCTATTTAATTACACGGAAGTTAAAATAAAATGACACATAGGAATTGAATAAATTTTAATACCACAAAACAACAAAATGTAGGTACTTAGATATACATTTGGGATAAAAATATCATTACCTCGGTGTCAAGTAGAACTACCTGCAGGCTACCTACTGTCAGTTCTAAATTATTTCAATACGGAACAATTAAATAACACATCAATACACTTTAAAGTCATGTCTACACAATCAATTATAATTTACTATTGAATGAGTTATTTTCAGATTTCAAAAATAAAACCTAACTGAGGTTCCATTCAAATTAAAATAAAAATGGTTAGTATAACATAATTTATATAATTATTAAATATAAAGTAATTTAGATACTTAGTTTTTATTAAAACAATCAAAATACAATCTAATTGGCTGCCAGCTTTTCTGGAATATTGCTCTGAAAAATAAAAAAAATAAGATGGTCTCAGAAAAGATCGAAATACATCAAAATCTAAATAAAAATAAGAAATATACCTAACTATAAAATGTTTTTTGCCTTTTGCTGAGATATTTATTTTTGACGTTTCAAAAGTTGGATTGGAATAAAACATTTTGATTTTTACTTTGCCTTTGCAGACTTAATTGTTTTTATACTTATTTCTGTTCCTTGCTACTTACTCGAAGATGTTGAATATAACAGACTTGATGGTATTGCCGTATCAAAGCAAATGCCTCTTCAGCCACTGCCAATTGATTGTGTTGCCACGCTAATACCGCCAGACAAGCCCAAAGCGTTTCGTCTTCAACGGTGCGACATAGCTAAGCCAGAGAAGAAAAAGAAACTCTAAAATCTTTTGGAAAAGATTGTCTTACACTATTAAATTCGACTGTGGGCTATAAAGTTATAATAGCCTTATAGTGACATATTTTTTACTGTTACCTAGTTTAGTAATCAAGGTTGCCCCACATTAGGATTTTCTCGTGTGTCGTAAGTGCGTTTACAAAAGTCTTACCTGTAGAGCAGCCTGCCACATGTTAGCAACAACGTGCTTTAGTAACTTTTCAGGAAACGCGGCAATAGACAGGTGCAATATGGAGCCATTGCCTCTGCAAATGTGCGCGACACCGTCTTCAACACTTAGAATCGTCGGATTTCTGCCAAGGTCTCTAAAATTAAAAAATCAGTGTTTTTGCTGAAAGTAACTAAGAACTGGGGTATACTTTTAATTATATTGTGAATTTACGAGATCTAGAAACTAAGAATGTTATTTTTCATGAGGCGTAAAAATGGATACGTTGATAGGTACCTACCGACTTCCAAACAATTTTGAGACGCTTGAGTGCAATATATTGAGATTGAAAATAAAATGTTTGGATGCAACCTCTTGCTAAATTGTTATACCAAAAAATAGGTGACTCACGTGACATCCTTGCTAACAGTGGTGAGAGCAAGCCAGTCTGGCTGCATGGCCGCTCGGGGACAACACCAGGCTACCACAGAACTGGCTCGCAAGCCAACCAACAGCTCTGTCTCGTAGCTCCAACAGATGCTCAGGATCTGTGACCCTGATAAATGATAGCAGTCGAACAGTTTCTTACATGGATAGTATCATAGATTTCGAGTGTACTTTCTTGCGTTTAATAGTATTCGTATGTAACAAAGACTACTAGTAGGGCTTGTTTTTTTGAGGGGAAAATCATCTAATGACTTCTCCCACCCAAGAAGGGACGAGAGGGAGTGTCAGAATCTTACGGTCTGAAAAACTGACTAGTAGAACTACGTTATAATATACGGTAGTAGGTGAGTTTAAAGACTAATCACGCTTTTATCTTTTATGTTATGTATTATCTAAAGCAAGCTTGTCTTTGTTCCCTTCCCTTCCATACCCTTTGGGGTTGTTTGCTAGGGTCAGGTTTAAAATCACCACCTCGATCACTCCGATATAGATTAAGTACGGTTAGCGCAGTGACTGCATAGACTGCATAACATGTTATGGTTTGGATTCCCGCACGAAACAACTGTTAACGTTAGCAGTTGCCCGGAGCTATCTTTAAACATGGACTTATAAAATGGTCATTTCGTGTGTATTTATTCAAAGCGTAATTTAAATTCAAAAAAATAATTTTAAGATTGGGTATCCCTGACTTGCTTTATCAACTACATCAACAACAACTCCATTGAGATTATTTGCCAAAAACCACGTTATATATATATATATTATTATATTATATATCCTCCCAGTTGCACCTATGTATTTGTTACCAAATAAAACGATACTCATTCCGGTTTTTATCGATATTAAATTGAACGTAATTTCCTGACTTGGTTAAGAGAACATTATTAATAGTGGTCAGACAAGTGAACTTGACCTTTAAGATTATAATAATCAATACTTTACTAATGAGGGTCTAGAAGAACTGAATCGATGGTATTAGACTACTAATGAACAAGATATATGCTACCCAAGTGTGGTAATATATATTGATAAATTTGAATGACATTTGAAAGCTAAAATTTTAAAATTATGTCATTTAGGCTATCATAAAAGTTTCGCCAAACTGGCCATAGGCAATTAAGCCATACAGTGTAACTCCGGGTCAGACTGGAGAGTTAAGGGACTGAACAAATAACTTCTGCAATTAAATGGAACTATTTACATAACATCATTAGATTCGATAAGGTGCAGATTTTCGAATGAAAGATCAACCTTAAGGTTTTGGAAAAAGTCTGTAAATTAGAGCCAAGCTTAAAAGAAAACAAAAGATAAAACCCACCTAAAACATAAAAATGACACACTTACCTAATTTAACAAACTTGGGCTTGCTATCCTTGAAAGTTACTACGTATAGATCCCTATTGTAATCCAACAAGGCAAGTTGTCTTTCATTGATCGGTCCCGTCTGACTGAGAGCTATACTGGATACAGTCATCTTGTGTGATAGTTTCGTCACCGTGTTATCTGCTGAGCTTCGGACGATCAAACCGGTAGGAAGATCGAAAACGTGGATTACTGTAAATGAAAAATTTGAAACTTTATGAGACATAGATTTAAAGTTGATCAAAATATTTGAAATGATATGTAGTAGACACTGCATAACATACAAACATGATTAGGTATAAGATTTATTAAAAATCTAATATACCTAATCATGTACTTTGTGTTAACACTTTAACTAGGTATTCTAAAACCGTCTTTACAACCTACTTACATTTTCTATCCGCCTGATCGATAGCTGCCAATGCATCCGGCCCTAATGACACGGAAGCACGACCCAAAGTCTCAGGTCTAGCGCCCCAACGTGGACTGGCAAGAAGACGACCCATATAACTGTAAACCGAAAGACCAGCCCTTTCTACAATACACAGACACCTGAAAACGCAGAAAAGACATTAAAGAGCACTGCACAATCGAACTCATTTGGACATATAAATAGGGTATTCCACAATTACCTTTCTGCCAACAATATCATACTAATTGTTCCTTCTTTAAGGTCAAACGTCACTGGTGTGTTCCAAGACGTCAGCTTATGTATGAAACACTGCTTCACCGTCGCCGTAACCAGATGGTTGAAGCCCAGGGCTATTTGAATTACTCTGTCTGGATAATCCAGTTGATCATTTTGATCTGTCATAATATCTCTTATAGCGATTACTTTCCGACCTATTTGGTTGCAAGCGTAATTCTTCCACGTGTACTCCCTGCAAAATACGTAAGTGCACGTCTAAGATAATGAAAAAGCGGCCAAATATGATGGAACAATAAAATAAAAACTGTATTTCTTTTTACCGATCAATTATATGAGCGAATAAAACATGTCCGTTAGCACATGCCGCTGCAAGCTGTGTACCATCGGAAGACCAGGCGATATTATATATGCTGCCCGTTGTCGGTCGGTCGAGGCAGTGAGACCACTAAAATGGAGAAAGCAAAAGCATAATAAAAAAATCTTTATATTTCAAATATATTAACCTCAGCTGCATTAGCTACTCATCAAATTTAAAAGTGTCCTTCAGCTTTAAGATAAACCTTTCATCGAAAACGAAAATCCCTAGCCGTGAAACGCTCCAAGAAAAGGGTGGTAAAAGAAGAAGCCAAACTTACCCCATTAGAGTTACAAAGACGGATGAGGTTGTAACTGCCCAGCACAAACATATCACCGGCTGGTGACCAACTGACACTCGTGATTGGCTGATCATGTTTAACGCTCACCGAAATTTGTTGACCAAATGTATCCCAAATCTGATTATAAACAAAGATTAGAACTAATGTTACACTGACCTATAAAGTTATAGGTGGTATGGACTTTTTGGTACTTACCTTAGAATAGCCGTCTTCAGAACCAGAAAGGATTAAATTGTTATTAGCATTCCATGCTACACATAAAATGAGACCTTCGTGAGCTTTCCACTGAAATAATAGTATATTATTGAAGAACAATCTTGAATTTGCTGGGTAAGTACCAACTTACGCATAGCATCGTAGGCAATTCATATACCTATGTATCATTATAGGTCGGTCAGACGATCCAAAAAGAGGTAGTGCTGTGATCTTATTATTAAAAGTGGTAACTGTCGAAAAGCAAATGTAGAAAGGTAGGCGAAAAATAAAAAAGAATAGCGAGTGGTAACGATAACGTCGTGGTGGCCCGGAGGCTACAGGGCCCACTTCTCATGCATGAGGGTTTAAAACCATAGCAAGTACCAACGTGACTTTTTCCGAGTTACTTTCTAAGTTTATTACACCACTAACATGCGGTGAAGGAAAGGAAAACATCGTGAGGAAACTTGGACTTGTAATATCTAATTATAAGTTCGAAGTCGCTAATCCACCTTGAGCAAGCGTGGTGATTAATGCCCCGTTCTGTGGGAAAAGAGGCCTTTGCTCAGCAGTGGGCAGTTATAGGCTGATGATGATGGTTACACTAGAAAAAAACGTACCTTAGTAATCTTGTTACTAGAATTGAGTTGCTTTATAACAAGCGAATTTCCTTTGGTGTGCAATATGGCACTGCTATCTGGACTCCACACGGCACTGAAGCAGGGCACGTCTGACTGGACTATAGTCGATCGTAGTAGGCCATTGCGAGACCAGACTTTAACGAAACCGTCTTCACCAGCTAAAACATAAAGACTAAAATAATTATCTTTTTTTTACGAGCTTATATTGTTCCACTGCTGGGTAAAGGCCTCCCCATCTCGCTGCCACACTTCCCGATCCTTCAACCGTGTCCACCAGTCTCGACGATAGGCGTCTAGATCGTCACGCCATCTTTTCCGCCATCCAAATAATTATCTATAGGACTATAATGGATTTATAGATGATCAAAATTTAAATATCTACAAACAGTTAGGTAGGTATTCACGTTACCTGTCAGAAGTCCAGCTCCATCGGGACTCCATTGTGCGATGAGGCAAGCTCCCTGATGTGCGTTTACCGATTTCTCGATACGACCATTATGATTAACAATATGAAACCTACAAATAAATAGAAATTGAAGTAAAGGTTGTTAAAGATGCAACTACGAAATTAAAGCCACATATGAGTACGAGTTGTTGAGTCAGTAGTTAGTAGTAGATAAATTGGTAGAAGGACGACGGACAACAAGGTCAACAGCCTTATACCTAAAGGTCGCTGAAAGTCCCTCTAGTATAAAAGTTGCTATCAGCCAAATTAAGCCACTCTGGAATTGGCCCGCGTTCATTAATTCATCTCACCTGTGACTGATTCTCAACTTCGTATTGTTACTGAATTAAATTTCCAGGAATAGGTATATCACTCGACCCGGGAATTGTAAGTACCCCTAGACATTATGTTCCACAGTTGACTTACGCAGACGACAAAAAAAAAACGATAATTTAAGTAGGTACTATTACTACTCAACAATATGGGGATTTAGGGAGTCAAAATATTACACTACATACAAGGTGATGTTAAACACTAATAGTCAGTAGTTTTATCACTATTGGTAAGTACTACTTGGTAACGGTCAGCGATAGGCGGAAGGTGAGTAGGTAAGCCGTGGCGCATCTCTAGCCATTGAAGAGTGGCTACAGGTGTCTTGGCGCTGCGTCAACAGCGAGCCTGACCCAATCCACCAAACCACCAATCAGTCAGTTCTTTGTCTAAAAGATTCTTGCCATACTTTCATACTTACTTGCCATCTGCCGTGGAAATAAGGATCACATCGTGTTGATGTTTATTCCCACCAACACTGATTTTTGGAAACAAGTGCATGTCATTCGGGAAGAAGTCATCAGGAAACGTAGTCACCACGATGCATTCGCTGTTCACTAGGTTCCATTTTAGAAGTTTGTGATCATCACTGGAGGTAGTTTTTAAAATGTTAGTACCTAAGTTACAAAGTTTATACCTAGGTATCGCGATGTTTGGAAGCATGGACGTTTGTTATAATAATACTTTTAGATACTTAGTAACGCTGAAAGGATCTACTTAAATGATATGTTGGTATAGAGGTAGGTAGATCATAAATACAAAATAGGCTTTCCGGAAAGTAGGTGCCTACCTTCTGCGGCGAAGCCGCTAGGACAAACGCGTAATAAAATAAACTAAGTAATTTGAAATGTAAAATTCAGTTTATTGGTAACCTATGACAATCGTAGCTCAAGCCGGCAGCGTCAGCGTGTTCGTGGTTATACCATGGTCACCTTCAATCCCCATTTTGGTCCTTGAACTTACCCACAAGAAAATACATCTTCGGTATTATTCCAGTTAACACAAACAACGACTCCAGTGTGTTTTGGTTCCTTAAGAGTTGATATTTTTAATTTCATGATTATTCGATTTAATGTGTTTATTAGTACGTTTGTTATGAATTTATTCTTGTATTGCAACCATGACAACAAAACATCAACACGAACTTCGCGCCTAACAAAGTTGAACCTAGCGCGCATGACAGGTAGAGTTGCAAGCGTAAAAAATAATATTTCTACTGGGATAGTATGTAATCTTGAAAATTAATATTAATTATTTTACAATTAATTTTATGAACCAAAATAAAAAGTGTTTGTAATTAATTGATTGAGTGTTGAAAGTAACTAGAATAATTTTGTTATTTCCTCTTGAACATCGAACAGAGGACAACATAATGTTGCTGACCAAAATATAAAATTAAAACGTGAATTTCAAATTAAAAATAAAAAAGAATAGTTTTTCTAACCATCAAATGGCTGCGCAACTTTATTTTTGAGGGAAACGGCCAGTGTTTTCAATGGTTGGTCTGAAAATTATTGTATCGAGTCTTTGTTTTTGTCTTTATTCTTTAAAAGTTTTGCTGCTTGCCAAAGGTAAGAGTCAGACTGGTAGATAATGCCTACGGCATTAAGTCCGCCTATGTACAGAAGTTTGTGTGCATAAAGCTTAATAAATAAAAATAAAATCGAAACTAACAAATAAATATTATGAATTAAACTGTAATTTATTAATTACCCATTTAAATTAAATCTTAATTTTTTACACATTGTGTTTTGTGTATAATAATAATATGTTGCATACTCCAGCAAATAATTCTGAACGACTTACTGAATGACAAAAATAATGAAAATGTCAAATAAAAATCAATGTCGAATTTTGACAGTTCAACCTCACATGTTCCTATTTTGCGGATCTTTATTTAGTGAATCGTGAAAATACTATAATTACGCCAAAGTTATTGTATTATTAATAAACCTAAACAATGTCGGACGTACCAGATCTTAGTAGCGACGAGGACAATTTTGAGGACGACGAATGGCAAGAAATGGAAACTAGCGACACTACGGTAACATGCTTATTTTGTTCGAATGTTTTGTCGAATATTGAGGAAGGAATCACTCATTGCAAAGCTGCTCACAAGTTTGACTTGAACGAACTGAAACTTAAGTTCAATATGGATTGCTATTCATACATTAAACTGATTAATTACATTAGGACACATAAACCCGCTCCTGAGGTTATAACAAACGTCAACCGGGTGCTTTGGGACGACGACAAGTATTATAAACCTGTAGAGCAAGATGATTGGCTAATGTATGATTTCGATGCTCTCACTGATAAGCCAAGTTCTCCAAAAACCTACCATGCTAATGTAGAAAATGGTTTAGTTACTTTATCTGAGGCACATTTCAGTGAGCTTCAAAGAACTATACAGTTATTGACACAACAACTAGCGGAGAGTTCAACACTTCTGAATAATGCAAAGGAGGATATTAAAAAAATGCAAAACTCAATGCAAACACTAGTGGAAGGTGGAAATAAGAACAACACTGAAGTGCCAGCTGAAGTAAACTGTGTTGCGAGTGTACCTCTGGAGATTGATGATGGCTACTTTAGTACTTATGCTCATTTCGGTATCCATTACGACATGCTTTCAGACAAAGTGCGAACTGAAACTTATAGGGATGCAATATTGAATAACAAAGAAACATTGAAAGACAAGGTTGTTTTAGATCTGGGATGTGGTACTGGTATCTTATCAATGTTCTGTGCAACAGCTGGAGCTAAAAAGGTCTATGCTCTAGATCAATCTGAAATAATATATCATGCTATGGATATAGTGAGAGAAAACAATTTGCAAGATGTTATTAAATTAGTCAAAGGAAGACTGGAGGATACAAAATTAAATGAAAAGGTTGACATAATAGTTTCTGAGTGGATGGGATACTTTTTACTATTTGAAGGTATGTTAGATAGTGTCATATATGCAAGAGACCATTGTCTTAAACCTGGTGGACTGCTGCTACCAAATAGGTGCAATATAAGTCTTGTTGCTAATGGCGATATAGATACACACAAGAAACTTATAGACTACTGGTCAGACGTCTATGGATACAAAATGAATTGCATGAAATCTGAAGTTGTGAGAGAAGCAAGTATTGATGTTGTGAGATCAAAATTCATTATATCTGAACCTTGTGTTGTCAAAGATATCGATATAAACAAGTGCAAAACTGATGTCATGGACTTTACCTCAGAATTTAAACTGCCTATCATCAAGGATGGTGTTTTGACCTCAATTGTTGGTTACTTTGACACCTTTTTTGATCTGCCAAATGCAATAGACTTCTCAACTGGACCTCACAAGACACCAACACATTGGAAACAAACTGTTTTTTACTTCAAAGATTGTAAAGAGGTCAAGCAAGGAGATGTTATAGAGGGTACAATAATTTGTAATAGACAGAAGTCAGATGTCCGAGGCTTATGCATTCAGCTTAATATATTTGGCAAGACTCATAAATACATCCTTAGTTGAATCAGTTGTGATAATTTTTTTAATAATGAATTTTGTGTCAAATGTTTAGAATATTTGCTTAATGTGCCTTTTATAATTGTTAAATTGCAAATATGATTTGCTATGTAATACAGCTGTAGTACTAAGTATAATAATGTTCATATATAGCTAAGAGATAGCATTGAATATAGCAGGATAGTTGATAAAGGTTTTTTTTTTATAATCATCTACTTTTAGGAAACTGAGATACTCACCAGCGAGGCAGTGTGTTCATCATTTTATGTCATTCACATAGATTATATCAGAAATCATGTCATTATTGTAATCAATTCTTTATTTTCATTTAAAATAGATATATTTTTGTAAGCTGCTAATGTTAATGCTAAATCATGTATTGTAGCTGGTTAGTTTTTGCAATCACGAATTGTTGAAAGCTTTTTGAAAGTATGTGAGTAATTTTGTATTTAAGTTTAATTATGTTTGGCAATAAGTTTTTACTATTAAAATAGACCACAATAAGTTTTGCACTGCTACTTCAGTAGTGCTACCCATTACATTAAATGCTTTAAGAATAAGATCTTCGCTGCTTCAACTTTTATATTTTTTCTATTTCTTAGATATATAAGAACATGCATTTCCCATGTTAAACTATCTAAGGGTATTAAAGTAAACATTTCGTCTACGAAAATCTTTATTTTATTTTACATATAATTTACATGTAACTAAAAGGTGGACAAATATATATACACATGTAGAAAAAGACTGACAAGTCGATAAAAAACCATTTGATTTTGAGATTTCATTTTATTAGAGAGAAAATGCAATTTCATACAAAGATCTTTGTTGTTGTTTACATAAAATTATTGTGATTTTTAAGATAAAACATTTAATAAATAGGTAGGTACATTTGCATACTTACAATACATATAGAAAATTTATATTCAGCGCTTGCATTTAAATATAGGTACTGTTACTTGCTTTTTTGTGTAGGATATACTAATAGAAAATGTAAGGAATTATATGTCAATATTTTTAGTAAATAACACCTCTTTACACATTAATAGGTATTTAGGTAGGTATATAACTATGAGTGGATACTTATTTTTATTTTCAATGACTTCAAATATATAAATATTTTATGTAAAATATCATTAATATTTTATGTAGAAGCACATTAGAACATTTTGGTGAAAAATATAATTACTATTGTGGATAGGTAACTATTTTATATTCTCTATTCTTCACTATCTTAAATCATAGCAGTGTATAGGTCTTTAAATAGCTTAATTACATTGACAATTGAATACTAAACACATTCGGAATGTCGTAATGTCACATTTAAAAGCAATAGTACTGTACAAAAAGTGGTTTCTAGTCTGAGAGAGATTATAATAATCAAGAGTGGGCCATATGCTCCAAGCTATATAATACAGAAACAACAATTAATATTCATTTACATAAGGCTCAGTATGCTAAAATCTACAATTTTATAAAGCTATATCCCCAATCTGAATGGCATTACTAGACTACATTTTCAAATTAAGTAGGTATTTTTCTATATTGATTATTCTTAATAATTAGTACCTATGAACTATTAATAGGTACACTAAATGCACAATATACAGAATTTAATAAATCTCTAATAATAATTAAAATAGATGATAAATATAAATATACATAAGTATACATATATAAAAAAATCTATTGTTAAATTTGTCTACAATAAGCGTCACCAGTTGGATTAAATATCTAGCCTTACCATGCCTGAAATCATACACCTAGGGACCTAATTTATCATGATTATGGATTCATTTGATTTGATATTCAATGAGAATGGTCCCACGTACCTACCAGGAAAACTAGGCCTCTGATATATGTTTGAAATGTTGCTGAGTGCTCATTCATTTATATGGTAACAGTAGAAAAATGTGTATGTATTTTCAGTACCAATGTCGGATGTAAATTTGGCATCGGTGAGTACACACTTGGCCTGAAATCCTTTAATATCTTTGATAATAATAAATTCAATGTTTAACTCCGTTCGTCAATAGATATTCTAGTTGAAGGACGGTACATTTACTTCGGGTCCTCCACAAGGGCCTGACATAAGACCGAGTCTCGCTTAGCCTACCTAAGTATTCCTGTTCTTCCTCGGGCTGTGACGCCTTTGTCTTTCAGTCTAATAGATCTAATAGGTAGTTGTTGTTTATAGAAAGCAGTTCGTCTCCATCGGTTTGAGCACGAGCTTTGAAATTCAATACATATTTGAGATTTTCTACATTATACTTAGCTAGGTATGTTGTATATAACAGAGACAAAAATCTTAATCTGTATTCATGAAGATTTACTAATGTACTATCTACCTATTACTAGAATTTGAAATGGCATTATCATTTAGAAAATAATTTCATATTAAATAACATTTGGTCAAGAATATCAAGACTCCAATTTAATCGGAAACATTAAAATTAATAAGCGTATTCATCATATTATGGGTTAAGTTTAACACTAATATTAAGCTACATTTAAGTTACAGTTAAGTGTTTGATTGAAGAGAAGTGCACATGTGTTTATGATTACATAAATTAATGTTGTTTGCTCCGTCACCAGCATTTGATAGTTACTTACAGTTACATTTAGCTCTTAACAACTATATTTGAAATGAGTTCAGTACAGTTTTACACAATAATTATTTCATTTATGAGTAGAAAATATTGTTACCTATCGATACATCTTCAAATATACAGACAAGATTCTATTACGAGCCAGATGTTAAAGGGATTCCTCAGGGTAACGTCCTAGGACCTTATAATTTTTTATAATTTTATAAGTTTAGTAGTAGTCCTATTTTCCCGCAATAGAATCTTGATAATAAGATATCTTAAAAGCATTATTAGACTTATTATTAGGCTAGGCTAGAGTCTTAGCGGCGAATAATAATAATAATGAATCATTTACACTACTGGCGTTACCGCTGCGCGGTATGTCGCCTGTTCGAATTAGCTCACTATGTTGTCTTCCACATAGAGAAACTTTATACATCCAGGCTTTTCGCATTGTGCTTCCAAGTCGTATTTGTGCGTTACACACAACAATTTTTATTTTAATAAATTAGCAACATATAATATAGCTGGCACACGTATGTATATTTTACAGTATGCTTTAGCTTTTCTTTAACAACGAATAGAACATGTTGCAACAACTAGATCTAACGCTATTTACAAATGTGGCTAAATATTATTCCTCTGTTGTCGGTGGGACGCTATTGTTCTCCTCCTCCTGTTTAGCGCGTGCCTCAGCATCTGAAAATAATGTTCACATTCAATTAGGCAAAAGTTTATCTTACAATGATGATCAAAATAAAATAGTCTAGTTAGTGTTGTCTTTACCTTTGGCAGCTTGCTCTTTCCATATCTTCTTGTTATCGCTGAGACACGCGACCCATGGCTTCCTGATCTTGAATTTGCTGCTATTTTCATTTCCTGGGAAACAAAAAGTTAGTGTTAGTGAGTTTGTTTTTGTTTTGCATATGACAAGTGCCACTCACGAAAAGAAATAAAATCACAAGATATCGAATAAAATAAAATATTGCTTACTACTTGTTTACTGTGTTGTTATTGTTTGTGGGTATGTAATTATGTATATATGTATGTATGTTGTAACTACCAAACTGGTGTCTTTCTTTCTACATCGTTAAATTGTTTTGTCTATGATATGTTTCACGAGAATGTGAAACGTTAAAAATCTATATCACTTTGATAATACTTACTATCCTTCGTACCTGTGCTCTCTTCATTGATAGGTTCAGCAGAACTGGTGGAGTTCTTGCTACTGGAATGTAGAGGGCCCAATATGCACTCAAGCATATCGGCGCAGACTCCCATGCTGGGCTCGACGATAAACTCGATGAAACCAATCTGTGACTCCGCCACGAGCGTGTTGTTTCTGTCGCAAAGAGGACTGAATGGAAGCCCTAGATCACGCTCCTTGTCTCCTTGAAGGAAGAACTCATCCAGGAGGCTCATTGTCCATCTGTGATGCAGGTCCCACCTCTGAAACATGGTGTTTTAAATTTGTATCAATAAAAATGTGAAAGGTCCGTCCGGTTGTCTGAAATTATTGTCGAAAATAGAAGTAAATAGTCAGTAGTTAGTAAAGTGTGTAAGTACCTACCTAAAATTAAGTTTGGTATAAGTAGTTGGTGCAGTAAGCTGTAAGTTAGCACTTTCATACATACAAGACGAAGGTTATTTAATAAAAAGTAAATTGACATCGTCTCACCTTGGCTGGATGCGAGATATCACAGCAGTGTAGAATAAGGGAGGCAGCCTTGGACTTATCGACGGTGGGCTCAGCGAGTGAGAGCAGCGACCTCATGTTCTTCAGCTGCTGGAAGTGGAACGACATGTCCGTAGCCAGGACCATGTCAATAACCAGGGTTCGGAACTCTCGGAACTCCTCTCTGGATAGATTCTGCAGTAAGTTGCATTCCTCGTCGCGCATCAGCCTGGAAGCAGGAGAATATAATTGGTTAGAATTTTTATTTATCTTGTTTTCATAGCATTTTACGTTTTTAATTTTATTTGAACTGTCCAGCAAGAAACTAGAGCTCTGATTGCATTGGACAATTCTTGTATGGACCAAAAGAAATGTGTAAGGGTTAAGATATACAGAAATTTACATAAGTCCCTAAGTACCCTTCCTAAGTTCTCTAGTAGGTATAAAACAACACAACCGTGATGATGCATGAAACTGAGACGTGTTTGTGTGTATGTATGCTCGGGTTTTCGTTGCAGGACAAAATTTTAAATGTGGTGATTCACCAAACAAACCAAGTTACCGATATAGTCTCACTATGGGCAGGCCACATCGCTTGATGAACTGACAGCCGATAAGTTTGGATTGTGCTCGAGTGACAATCAAGGACGGGACAACGCAGTGTGGGCAGGCGACCCGCTAGGTGGACTGACGACGTGGTCAGAGTTGCGGAGAGTCAATGGACGCAAGTGGCGAGTTGAGACTACGTAGACGACCAAGGCCTTAGTTCAACAGTGGATGTCTTTCAGCTGATGATGATGATGATGATTAACCCGTGACATGCCGGAACTCAGACCCACGCGAGCCACAATGTTTTTTCTATTGTTTGTCATATACCGGCAGACAAGAGGTTAAATCATTGTTTAAAATTAGTATAAGTATCTTAATTGCTGCAATTATCTTAATGCTGCATTATGAGTTCAGTAAATAAACATAGCGTATAATAACTGCAATAAAATTAGGTTTCTAGGTGCCTAAATCACAGTTAATGTAGGTACCTGGGTACCGGCAATTTAGTTTACCTACTTCATAAAGTAGGTATTTAAGTACCTACCTTCTTGGTCTACGATGAGCGAGCGGTTAAATTGGAATAAACTAATTTAGTTATCAGAACGTCGTTAAATACTCAGGAGATTGAACCATCTTCGGCCAATCGAATTTTTGATTTAACTCGTAGGTGCGGTGGCTGGGCAACTAGCTGCCGTGCAACGTGTCGCGGATTCGATTTTCACACGGAACGACTCTGTGTGATCCACAAATTGTTGTTCTGGGTCTGGGTGTCAGGTGTACCTAGTATGTGAAATCGTATGTTTGTAACATCACCCACATGGCACTACCCAGGAGAAAAGAAAATTGGGGGCAAAGTTTTTTTTTTAAATACCTACTTAGGACAGTGATTTCAATTGTTTCTATTAGATAATAGATACACAGTTTTTATAATCCATAGGTACCTATTGAGATACTCGACAAATACTTAAGCTATTATTTTGTTGAATTATTATTTGTTTGTGTTTGATAATTAAATTAAAATAAAGAGATTGGACGTCGCCACTTTTCACCTCGAAATATTCAACAAATTCCAAGGTAAAACAGAATCAAAAATATTTGCGGTGTGACTTTGTGGAAACAGATGGCGCTGCAGTATTCATTTTAAAACTATGTACGTTGACATGTCAAAAATTTCTCATTTTACCTGCGAACGGACAGCGGGCAATACATAGTAAAACCATAAAGATGTAAATTTATAGTCACTGCCATAACTGTGTAGATAGATAGGTACTGAGGTAATTACACAAAATTGCCAGTTGTGTGGTCGCTGTCTATACAACTAGTCGTTAGAGGTTATAAACGTTATGGAACTCTGAAGTTACGACAGGTTTCCAATGGTTCGCCGATCATATTGGAGATCGCTATCACGTTTACCGTTACAGGTATCCTATTAAAACTGTTGTTATCTGTAGCAAACTCATTAAACGGATTGATAGGGTCCCTATTGTTGATTGCAGTGATTCAATTTATGTAAAGGTCTTCGACGTTATTTTGATATGCCAGCGATTTGTAACGCGCGGAGTACGGAACGATGCCCTAGGTACTCTACCTACACACAGCAAAACGTGCTAAAATATAAAAGAATGGGTAAAATTAGGCGTATACTCCTTCACACCTCAATGGGTACCTACCTAAGTTTAAATTTTCATGTAAAATTTCATCAGTAGCTACTATTCTCATATTGGGTATAGCGGACTAAGAATTAGAAATAATATAGGTAAGTTATTCATGAGACTAATCCATTATAAATAGAATTATCCTTAGATAAAAACGTTTTGGTGTACTTAAATATTTAAGAAGCGTATACGTATACGTAAACGTATACCTACATATTTACCTACTATTTAGGAAAATCTATTTGTTGGTTTTGTTTGAAACTTTCGGAAAACATGGTCTGCGATTGACACGCTGACAGATGCTGAGTGAAAATCTAAATATGCGTGAACTAAAGTAATAGAATTTGTAGCAGCAGTAGGTACCTCTAACTATTCATCGATTTCTTAGACTAAAAGCAAGTAGGTACCTACATTTGACCGAACATTTTTTTGAAAATGAAACCTATATGAAACTTTTATTTTTGGCCCTCAAAACCCCTCGAAAAAGCAAAACTGTTATTGTATTTAACCAGCAGGACAGTCAGTTAAGATGGTTAAAGAAGGAAGGATTAGGCTGTTGGTAACCTCATACCTATTTCACACCAATGTTCTGTAAGGCCATCGTATCACTCCGGTCGAGCCGACCCACTCGTGCCGTAGCTTGCCGCTTTAACACTTAAACTTATTGATCTTCTTAAAGTACTTTAACTATGACAAAACAAATACTCTTCACAATACAACTCAATACAAGAAAGAATTCCCCCAGAAAGTAATTTCGACGCTAAAAATAATAAATACCTAACATAAACCTTCATAGATTAACTCGTCAGTTTGTTAGATTGACGGTGAAATATAGTTGGTACATTTCTTGCGGCCATTTTAAATTCATGGCACGGCAACACTGTCAATTACTGCCAATCATTGTGAAAAACATCATTGCCGTACTCGCCTCACGTAACCAAAGGCTGGAAGTGGAGCCGAGCCGATAAATAGCCTGGCTATACTTATTTATAGGGTGACTTATAATTCGTGCCCCTTATAAGGGTGGCTTGTTTCGAAAATAATAAGTGTCTATCCACGTATCTTCTACCTTATGATTTTCTTGGTAAGATTAATGAGATTAGTGTTTTCGCTGATCGAGGTTATTGTTTTAGAAGTTTGAGGAAAAAATATTATGCATATTTTCTTTGTGCCCTTAGTGTTAGGCAGTATTAATTTATTTTTTTATGGGATATATATGGCAAACGACTGAAAGAACCTAGTAAGCTATTGGCACTGCCAATGGAGTCCTGAGCAACCTGCTTTCTGCTGGGTTCTTTCCTCGCCACAAAATTGGTGCGTGTAAGTACAAGTTCTTTCGTTTCCTCATAAAGAATATTATTACACGAGTAAGGGTTTAAGAATTTATGAAGGACTTATAAACTCGCCTTATTGCATTGGACTTACAACACCATAACATGGTAATAAGAGCGAACGTTAAATGAGTTTATTACGTAATTCCGCCAACCCTCTTCCGACTGCCTAAACTGACTAATACTTGTAGCAAAACTGGTTCAAGTCCTGTTTAAGGCAGAAGAGAAGTGCGTTTCAACTTTCCAAGGGTTAAAAAAGGGTGAAAATACGTCAAGAGGAAAAAATACTTCTTCCCATTCGAGTTTTAACTTTAAAACACGAATGATGGAGTATTTCAGCCATTTTTTTTACAAAATAGGTCCTAATCCTAGTCACACAACGGGAAGATGATAGATTATTGTCTACAGCTTCATAGTTCATTCATCATGTAATTTATATCCAATAGAATATATTAATGGCTGCTTCCCTTGTAATTTAGCGTAAGGTCGGTTGTGACGTCACGGGGGCCTGATTGATGGCCGCTATGATCGGTTCGTAAACAATCTATCCGGGTTAAACCTTCCCTGATTCTCGAGAGATTAGACCCTAAGTGTTAAGATATTGATATACCGTTCGGCGAAGTGCGCGATAAATTATTTGGTGTTGAAAGTCGTAAAGTCCAGAAGTATTAGTCAATGTTCAGTTGGTTTCAATGATGGTTGGTGATCGTGGCGAAGAATGCTGTTTTGAATATACTCCTTCTGAGATCTTTCTAGTTATTATCTGTAAGAGATTTTGAGAGCCACGTAGGCACTGATTCTAAATTCTAACAAAAACTGAGATCGGTTTTAATTTTGCACTTGGCATCAGTCCTTGGTCCGTAGATGGCAGATTAAATAAAAGAAAAAACACAGACTGCTTACAGAAAGAAATAATGTTAATTGAGAAATCCAACGAGTTCCTGTAAAAACTTAATTACTTGAACTACAAGAAGTGTAACCTAATAAAACGAACAAAACACAGCGAACGCCCCACAATAATTTATTAAACAAAAGCCCCAAGGACTGCATTTACCTAATTAAAACCTATCTAATTAATTACTTGGCATAGCTTTTACCAGCTGTTGTATAAAGCGTTTTGGCTTGTAATCCTCAAAGGGATATATATGTACTACTAGATGTAGTTCAAAATTAACCGTAATTTTCTCAAACATATTTTGGGGCATTTTCTAGACATTTTTTCTGTGCTGGCAACCGCCCCTGTGTCCTGCGTGACCTTTGGACGGTTAGCTTTGACTGTATCTGTGCTTAGAGATACCTACGCAGTTTCAAATGCTTGAGGCTACGTAAACCGATGCCTTTTCTATAAATACACATGTTTACGCAGGAATACCTGGCAGTGTTACGAATTTAGAAATAGAACAATCTATTAGCGCGAAATTCTTCAGAAAATCAGAATGTTCCGTTGGTTTCAAAATGTGATAGTCTATCGATAAGTGACAGACTATAAGAGGTTACGCAAAGTATCGCAGGAGGAATTTGAGGAATGCACCCGGACCGTACAGTGGCTAGAAATTCACTGAAGCGTTTAGCTAAAGTAAAATGACAATACACGAAAATCCTGAGTTCGCAAAGTGTTAGACCAAAAATCTAGATTTTTTTTCAAAAATAAGTATACTGTTTGACGTCAAAATATAAGACGTATTGTATGTTGA